CACCCCCCGCCCCTGCTCCTCCGCACCTCCAGCTCCTGCCCAAATTCACACCCCGGGGAGGGACGGGATGTCCCCAGGCCCCACCACACCCTGCAATGCAGCACTGGGACACCCCTGTTATTTTGCACTGCTGCAAGCTGCCCACCGTACAATGAGAAACCCCCCCAGCAGCCCCCGGCACTCACAGACAGCGGCTGGCCCAGGGCACGGGGCCAAACTCTGCTGAAGGGGAGGAGGAGGGCGGGGGGCTGCACTAGGGGCCAGGGTAGGGGTTCCCCTCGGTGCTCCAGCCTGGGGGGAGACCTCCACATGCAGCAGGACACGTAGGCTCAAGCCACAGCTGAGGGGTGAGGGAAGGTGCAGTGGGCCCTCAGGGACCACCTATTGCAGACACCAGCAGCCCCCTCCCCACCCCACGCCGCCCTAACCCTTTGAGGAGCCCAAACCAGAGCTTCTGCACAGGGCCAGCAATCCAGCCCCCGCCATCCAGCCCCCAGGGCTTTTCCAGCCCACTGCAGGGCCAGGGCTGCCTCACTGCTCATGGCCAGAGGCTGCCCCCCCCCCACCCCAACCACGGGGGTCCTGCCTGCCCTAGGGAAACACACCTGCAGGGTGGGAGCTTTGGGAAGGAGCAGCAGCCCTGGTCCCTCCAGGATGGGCAGCAGGGACAGCCATCAGGCTAACCTCCATCCAAGCACCAGCACCAGACCCACCACAACACTCCTGGAGTTAAAGGAAAAGGGCATTTAGGATCTGGAGCACCAGCAGGGCTCGCCTAGCCAGCAGGACTGTCTCATCCCAGTGCGGCCCTGGCCGGAGCCCCGAGCGATAGCAGAAGCACACAGGGCTTGGCACAGGCTCAGGGCAGCGCTAGGCTGTAAGGAATGTGGGGCTTGCAGCCAAGCCCGCCTGGAAAGATAATCCAAAGCGGAAAGAGCTTGTTCGATGGGTGCTGTCAGAGGGGGGAAAGACCAGCTGGAGCGGGAGGTGATGGCGGGGGGCTGTCCCTGCTCACACACTGTGAGGGGTTTGCTGGACCAGCTTTGTCCCATTCCCCATCTCCATAAAGCCATCCCTGGCACCTGGGAGTGCCTCAAGGACCCCTTCTCGACACCCATCTCTCCCCAGTGCCCAGGGGAAGCGAGCAGAGGAGGGCACAGGAGGCTGCAGAGCCACTGAGAGCTGTCACTGGCTCCCTGCCCTGGGCTTTCTTCGTCTAGAGAGACACAAAGGCACAGCTGGAACCCTGGCACTTCACAGAGAAACACGAGTGTCCTAGAGCAGTGACTGCACAAGAGATGCTGAGCGCAGTGGTGAGATGTCTCTGGAGCAGCAGCCCCTCATCCTGCAATGAAGCGGGACTTGCCCACCATTTTCCAGGCAAGAGGCTTTGCCAGGGCTCCTCTGCCCAGAAACACCCAGGAGGGAAGGGGATGTGAACCCAGACTCCAGCTAGGAAAAGGGAGACATAACACTTCCACAGCTTGCCCATCTCTGGATGGAGCAGGGGCAAAGCAGGAGCTTCAGGCTTCCCAAGCACTTTGAGAGTCTGTAAACACTCGCAACCCCAGCCTTGTCCTGTGGGTACGTGCCTTTGGCTGCATCTCCTCCCAGCTATTCTGTCATCCCTAGGAAATGCCGTGCTCCCATATCGCAGCTGCTGAATCAGCTTCCCCAGGCGCGATGTGCTGGTCGGTGGCCTGGAAGAGACACGGCCAATGCTCCATAACGTCAGGCAGAGGATCCCAGGGCTCCTGCCTCCTAGCGGGCGGTCAACACACCCTTGAACCATGGAGCACAGCTGGGTGTCTTCTATGAGCACATCTGCCATCACCCAGCTTCTTTGCCACCAGGAGAGGGAGGATCTGAGGTTCAGGCTCCGAGGCTACATGCTGGAGGGCTGAGCTGCACTTAGTAGGTGCCCACCTGAGTTCCCTCCCCTCTGCAAGCAGCAAGAGGGGCCCTCCAGCAGCTACTGGCCTCACATGGCAGAGGTGAGATGGAAAGGGCAAGTGGTGCTGGGGACACGAGCACAGCACACGGGTGCTGGTGGCTCAGAAGGGTCCTGCAGCAGGCGGGAAGCAGGCAGGGAGCTGCCAGCGCTTACAGCAGCAGCTCGTTCCCTCCTTGTTGCCATGCTCTTCAGGCTGCTAGGAGGGGACTTGGTGCACTCAAGTCCTGACAAGCAAAGGAGAGCAGCACCTGTGGTGAGATCAGGCTGGAAACATGCTGCATACTCCCACATCCCAGCACGGCAGAGGCTCCCCACTGCTCCAAAGCAGAGAAAGCCAGAGCAGCCACCGCAGGAACAAGTGTTTGTGGGAACAGAGTGAGTTACAGAAGACCCTTGGCTAGGCTGCATTGGTGACATACTCCAAGTGCTCCCGAAGGCAGCTTCTGGGACTCAAGAGGTCTGGTTAATGTGCAGGGCTGCTAATCACGACTCTGCATCCCAGGCCTGTGCAGCAGCCAAGGGCGTGGAGCAGATCCGCTCAGCCGCCAAGAGCAGACGTGCTTTGAATCCATCCCTTGCCCAGCAGGAGGGATCCCCCAGACCCAGAATTAGATACCTCCAGGCTTTTCCAGCCCAGTCCCCCAGGCCCAGCCAGAGGCCAAGCAGCAGTTTGTAAAGGTGTGGGCTGCAGGGATCGGGAGAAGCCTTGCCAATACACTGGCAATGGCAAGCCATCAGCGCCTTGAGACACCATCAAGGCAATGGTGCCCAGAGAGAGGGTCTGAGGTGCAGCTGCACACCCCCCAAGGAGCCCTCCCGCCTGCTTCCCTGCCTGCCACAGCCACTGTCACGCTGTCCTGGAAGACCATCCCTTTTCTAAGCAAAACAGAGATGGGATGTAAATAAGCATATCCTTGGATTTCCCAGGCCAGGGAGTTTTGCAGGAAGGGCTGAGCTATGCTGGGCAACAAGCAATGAATCAAAAGCAGCTCAAAACAGGACACCTCAGAGGAAGAATTAGTAAAACACCCCCGGCCCTTATTGCTCCAGCCCTTTTGTTCTCTGCTGACTTCACTTCCCCGTCTGGCTCATGCATGGAGAAAGCCCGATGACAGCATGGAAAGATGAATCATCCTCCTCTGAGCACTTGCCTGTGCATAGCCGTGTGCCAAAGCCCCCATGTGCCAGAGCTCAGCGCCTGCCAAACAGGAGCCAAAGGAGCAGCGCCGAGACCCAGCTGGCCCCACTGCGGGCTGGGGCGGCCAAAGGAGGGTCCAGAACAATGGCAGCTGCTCTAACCTGCTGCTCTTCCAGAGGTCAGACATCAAGGTGTCCTACAACCATATGGTGACCGAACTGTTGCTTTTTCTTAGAAATGGGACAGCGTGCATCCGAGCGCCCGTAGCTACAAGCGCATTTCTTCCATGCCTCACCGAGGCAAACAATAACAGCACTGTTTGTAGAACAATTCCCTCCTTAGTCCAGATTATACTTATCTCCTGGCTCCTGTGAGCAGATGCCTGCGTGGCACTGGTACGATGGCGCTGGAACAACGCTAAGTGGTCATTATAGTTGCCCAGCCAAGAACCTAAATTTGTAACAACTCTCTCCTTTTTAGCACTAGCAGAACCACCACCAAGAAAGCTTCATATTGGCTTTGTGCTTCTCTTAAATATATTGCAACAAATATTCTGGTGTTCCTGTTTACGAATCCAGTTTGCTTCGCACCAGCAGCAGTGACTAGCATTTCTCCTTCTTTAGGGATGGCTCTACCAGGGTTGCTAAATGTCGTTGAACCTCAGCAGCAAGAGGATGGTTGTTTAACACGGCAGAAGCACACTGCCTCTTTTCACGGGCTAGAACAGGAATTCAAGTCCAGCAGCAGAGCTCCATGAAGCAAAGCAGTACACAGTTCACCCTCATTGCCTAGAGCAGCACACAGCAGGGAACTAGCCACAAACCTGCAGAAAGTGCAAGTTCTCTTCAGCTCAGGCCTGTTAAGTGCCATTTCAAGGCCATCCAGGAAAGACCTCAATAGTTAGAAAGTCAGTAAGGCTACAAAGGGACTGCTAGAGTAGAGGGTCTCCTGCCCCAGGAGACAGGGAACCACATCCAGAGGCTCTTTAACCCAGCCCTAGCTTTTGAGCACATCATCAGAGCTTTTAAGAACAAGATAAATCACATAATTAAGATAAAAGCTAATCAGTTAAATGCAAGAGCTACCAAAGCACATGCAGTCTGACAGCTACAAGTCTACTTACAAACTAAGATACTCCTATCATTCAAAATATTTTAAAAAATTCAGTATAAAGACCAAAACCCACACTGTTGCGTCATTGTTGCCTTAGCGTATCAACACTTGAAAGGGCTGGAAGTCAGGGAGCAATACTGTGGAATAAGAAAAGGTAAAAAGTACTGAGACTGAATATGACTGAATATGCTACCGCATACTGCAATGTGATGGAGATACGTATGCTCCCCAGACAACTTCAGAAAAGGTGGTGACACTTCAGGGCCCTCAGATCAGGCAGGCTCCCTGCCACTTTGCTGCACGCCTGTGTTTTGCTAGCCAGACCCAGGAGAGACCATCCCCTTCTCTCCCAGCTTAGTGAAGACCAGCTCTCAAACCAACACCACTCTGTCCTCAGTCCTGGGCATCTCCCTGGTACTCCAGTTCCACCACTCACCACAACATGCAGTAACGCCTTGCTGTTCAGACCACTGGTCAAAGTTCAAGGATGAAGGTGTTTACTTAAAATGCAGATTTGTAGTAATGTTACAAATTTTCCAACAAACAAACACCAAAATACATCAAGATTATACTTCCTAGCCCAGCATCTTAGTTATCTTCCTCTGGTTAAGCTAAAGCAAAGCACTGTTAGCTTTAAATGGTACCCCTTCCTCCTGCCATGGGCTGCAAAGGGGCTGAGGACAGAAAACAAAAACTAAGACCCTTCCACCATATCATTCTGTCCCCACTTCCACTTTTAAAAGGTCTTTTCCAGCATCTCCTGCCAAAAATACTTTATTTTCTCACTAAGGAGACAAAAGACTGCAGGCAGTATAATAGCATTTGGGGTACTAGGCAACCTTTAAAGCACAGTTAAAGCTGTGTTCCTATACAGACTTCCCTACATTGATGCCACTTCCATCCGAGCAGCGTGAGCACGACAGCAGGCAGTGGTGTCTGGCAGGGACAGGGCTGCAGTCCAAAGCAGGAAACTAACAGTACACGCATATAGGCGAAAACACATTTTCTTTCAGCTCTCCCTCTGGGTTTGTGGACCAAGTGCTGCAGCGACATACAGGGATTACAATCACTTCTGGCAACCACTGTAGGGTACATAAAAGTGCATTTTCATTACGCTGTAAAAACAAGGTCTTTATGGTTCTTGCTATGAAGATTTGTAATCCATATCTGAATCAAGTGTGAACCTCTCAAATGCTCTAAAGCATCCAAAACAGTGCTTCTAGTCCTCTCTTTGGCTGGTATTCTCTATCTTCTTAAAAATTTTATCAGAACTACGGGCTGAACAGGAGTATTTCTGGAGTGCAAGAGCTGCCTGGTTTTACCCATCACATACAGACCAAGCACCATGGTTACAGTCTGTAGCGCTAAAATCAAACTGTGAAGGCACAAGAATAGCTGACAATAAGCAATTCTGGTATTAAAATAGGGCTTAGTACTCCTGCGGGCTGGCAGCTCATCCCACCAGGCAAGAGTAGTTAAATCTGTTCCTCTGACACTGGTGGTTTCTACTACAACATTGGGAGAAGTTTGGGTTGGAACATCTGAGAAATGAAACCTAGGCTGTCCAACATCTCGAACATGTGAGTAGATAAAACCTGGAGTTGCAAGAGGAATTGATGTGGGTGTGCTGGTATCCATGTCGGACACCACTGATACAGTAGTCTCCCAAGATGATGTCAAGTGCTCCGTCACAAGAGAAGTTGAAGCCTGGGAATAACCTGAGCTGAACTGGTCTGTAATGGCTGTGCTTGGCAGGCACTTCAGGTGATCATCTGTCAGAGCCACCAGAGAAATATTCTGTAGTGCCAGCGGGCTGTCACACTTTAGAGATGGCACATTTTTAACTATCTCCATGCTCTTTTGGAGCCACTCTTGGAAGCCAAGAATTTGGCAATCGCATTTCCAAGGGTTCTCGGAAAGGAAGACTTCCTGCAGCTTAGGTAAAGCAGTGAAGAAATCTCCAGGAAGAGACTGCAGCTTAGTACTATTGAGGTAAACTTTCTGAAGGTGCCTGAGATTATGAAAGAGGTTTCTAGGAAGAGCCTCAAGCCTCGAATCAAAAAGGGAAATGTTCTGCAGTTTCTGAAGGCTCAGGAAGATGCCCTCTGGCAGAGCAGAAATATTATTTGTATGCAGAGAAAGGCCCCGCAGTTCATTCAGACCACTGAATACATTCTGAGGAAGAACACTAAGCTCTGGATTAAAACTCAGCACAAGAAGCTCTAAATTTGTCAAGTTACTGAACACAAAATCTGGTATTGTTGAGAGCTTTGTGTGATACAGCCACAGGCTACCAAGATGCCTCATTTCTCCAAACAATACTTCTGGAAGAGACTTCAGTGGGTTCCTGTACAAGGTCAATTTAGACAGGTCGTGCAAGTGCAGAAAGAGCCCAGGAGGCAAAGCCTCAAGCTTGTTTCTGGAGAGCGTGAGGGTTCTCAGTTTATGAAGACAATGAAATGCATCAGGGGCGATGGACTGGATGTTATTGCAATGCAGGAAGAGTTCCAGCAGCTCCTTCAGGCTGTCAAACATACCAGACTCTATTGAAGACAGCCTGTTAAAATACAGCATCAGCTTCTCAAGCCTGGTTAATGCACTAAATATATTTCTAGGCAGTGCTGCCAAATAATTTCTCGACAAGTTCAGTACTTTGAGTTTGGCAAGTTTCTTCAGCACGCCACTGGGAAGTGCTGTTAGTTGGTTTTTGTTCAAGAAAAGCTCCTCCAAACTAGTGAGTTTGTCAAACAGATTTTCTTCAATGGATTTCAACCGGTTATTTTCCATGATTAATTGCTGAAGCTTTATCATGTCATCAAAGACTTCTGGGGGAAGTTCGCTCAGCTTATTATCTAGCAGTTTGAGAGCTTTTAGCCTTCTCAAGCCTTTGAAAGCCACTGGTGAAATCAGAGAGATGTTGTTTGAAGACAAGATGAGATGCTGCAGCTCCACCATCCTAGAAAAAACATCCTGCAAGTACGTTACATTAGTGTGCGTTATGTGAATTTCTGTCATGTTGCAAGGCAGATTCAATGATTCCAGGTCTTCTATGTGGGGACCAGAGCAGTGAATTGCATTTTTTGAAGAGCAGTCACATCTCTCAGGACAAACAGATGCATCCAACTGGAAGAAAAGCTTGATCACCACTGACAAACGAAACACCAACATCGTGGTTGAAGTGCCAGAAACATTAGCTGTTACAAGAGATAAGAGAGAGTCAGGATTTGATCACGGGAAGTGAATAACTTAGCAGCCGACAAAGCTGTGTGAATATATCACAACACCTGCAAATGTGTGCAAAATTTCTCTTGGCTTGAATGCAAACTTCAGAATCTCTATTACTATTGACGGCAAATATTTCTAAGATGCTCAGCTTACACCAAGAAGTACAGATAAGGCTCTTCTGTAAATCAAGTATTCCTTGTTTATATTTATACTAGTCAAGTATAATAAAAGCATATAAAAATCATGATGAAACTCTAAATAGTCATAAGGCATGTATTTATTTGAACAGAAAAGCATTAAAGTTACACACAGAAAGCCTTTAAAAAAAATTATCAAAACGTCCTGCACCCAGAATATTTTTTTTAGTGCAGGTTACCTGAGGTTTAAAAACAAAGTTTAGCCTGCAAAAATAGACAATGGAGGTAAAAAGGGTGTCCCATATTTTAAGTGGCCAAAAGCAAAACAGCACACAGTTCTGTCAAATCATCTCAGCATTTGCAAGTGATCCCTTCTTGGAACAGCCCAAGAACACACAAGAAGCAACAGGCTATTTTTGATGTAGCCTGAAATAACACACAAGAGCTCACGCAGCACAGGACAGTAGTGAGCCTCTGATAACCGACAACTCTCATTTCAACAGCTTAACACACTACTAAGTTATCAGGAGTATTAAAAACACAATGAAATGAGAAGAAAGGAGTGACACGAAGTTAGCTAGAAAGCTGTAGCAATAAAGACTGATCTGCATGAAACGTAGCACAAAGTTGGAAAGTTGTATAGGTTTCCAAACAACAAAAAAGGAACAGGAAAGCAATCATTGCAGCTGTAACAATAATATTTAAAAGAACAAGTCAAACAGAAATGCACAGTTTAGAAATACTTCCTTAGTGAGATCAACAAGTCCAAGTGTATCAGAAACCTGGAAGTCAAGCACCTGGCTGATCAGAAGCAGCAGCTGGGACTGCCAGAAGAGCTGGCCAAGTTCTGCAGACATAGCTGGAATAGCTGACACCGTGTCAGCCTTCAGCACCAAGAACACTCCGGGAGAGGGGAGCTCCGTTCCAACATACACTTTTCCAGGTACAAGAATGAAGCTCTCCCACATCAAGCCCCCAGACAGACATGGGTACAAACCCCATCATTTAAAAAGGTGTAAATCAGGTGGGTAGCAGGGCTTCTCACACTCCTGACCTGCTGACAAGAACATACTACCGTGGATCACAAACAGCCGCAAAAAAAGCAAAAGGAAGTACTTCAACAGAAAAACTACTGGTTATGTTCAGAGTACTGAAGACCGGTAAAATCTGCATCCCTTCCTCAGGCAGGGAGGGACATGGCACGTAGGGGTCTCAACTACCAGCAACACATTGCCGCAAAGCAAGCTCTCACTGGGCTTTCTACAACTCTAAGACTGTAACTCACCAAAAAGAGGCCATGAGATTTCACCCTTCCAAAGGGCTTTTCCATGTCAAACAAGAATCTTCCAGAGGATCTCACTCTCCTAGAAATCCCCCCACCCCAAAACTGACCATCTCTCATAAACCAGTGACGCCTTCACCTCAACAGAGAAACTCAGAAGCCAGCCTGGCCCTGATTCTACCCGTCCCCCCCTCAGCACACCGATGAGAGCACATCCCTTCTCCCTCGCCCTCCAGCCCGCGCAGCAGCCAGCTGAGGAGCCACTTCGGGGCGGTGCGTGAGCACCACCCTCCATGCGGGGCAGAAAAACACCAAGAAATTTCTGTTTCAAGCCCTGACTGGCATCTCAACCTACACCACCTCAATCCAAGACTACGGCAGAACTACAGGATTCAGTGAAATGAGATAAATAGATCTAGAGAACCAAATGGGGAAAAAAACCAACCCAAATTGTTATGCTACAGACTGAATGCAGGTGCCCCAGAACACATGGCTGCAGGGCAGAGTCTGTAAAATAAGAAACAGGCTAACGCTAGACTGTAGACTGGGGACATCTGTTTTCCTGGTCTCATAACAAAAGACAAGAGACTATTCAATGAGACAAGGTTAGACACTCATAAGTGCTAGAAGAGATACATTTTCACAAACAAACAATGACAAGGTAAGAAATTATTTGCAAGGGATTAAGGTCACAAGCATATGACTAGCACAGGAACCAGATAATCCTATGGATCTCAAACATCTAGAGCTGCTAGTGATTTTTTTTTTTAAGAAATATTTAAATTCCCGTAATTGAAGATTTTAACAGTAGAGAATACAGTAGGATCCATATAAAGGGTCATACTTACACATTCCCATGTATTAACATTTTCTCAAACCCTCGTGTGAAACACCTGCCATTCCAGAAAGGACACCAGCCTGGCCGGTCACTTACCATGTTCAGGTCTACAGCTTCCTTCCCTTTCCACCACCCCCTTAATGTTTCTCAGACTATGAAAGGATCCCAGAAGCAATACATAAATACTCTTAGTATATTAAAAGCCACAAACCAGTTCTGAATTAGTTTCAGAATACTGAGCACACATAGAATTTAGTATGGTGCTTCAATTTTTTACTTTCTTGCAAGTTTCTAAACTCATATGAGCATGAAAAATGAATTTTGAACTGTACCTTAGAAACTTATCTGTGTTTTAGAGGAACTTACTAGGAGCATAGCAATCAGGCTTCACCATGATTCTGCACTTTAAACGGGAAGTAAAACAGCAAAACGCATCCTCTAGATAACTCTTTTTATTTGCGTAACCACTGTGCAAGGCCAAAGAGTTTAAGCTTCAGAGCAGATCTTGCCTACATTTAGTTGTGTAAGCAACCTGCTTCCACAGGTTGCATGCAACTCCAGAAGTGGAACTTGAGACCACTCACAAAACAGTAATCAAAAAGTAAACTGTAAAAGAAAGTTTGAAGTCACAAATAAAACTACTTGTAGCTTCTTTGACAGTGATATTGGAGTATGTGCTTCAACCAACCCAGTGCAAACCTGGGTAGAGTCGGAAATCTGCATTTCAACATGAATTATGAGCAGAAAAATTACTCCAATTTGTAAGACAGTTTCACCCTGTCTGCTACACAGGTGCATTAGGTTTTGAAGGAGCGGACGCATCTACTTTAAACAACCAGCGACTGATATGCACCTTCACAAGGCTGCTCTGACTTTTACTTTCTCGGAAAAGTGGAATCAAAGCAATATGAGTTTTCTACTTAATACTTTGGCTAAGCAACCCAGGGTTGACCCATTTGGCTTCTGTTTTTCCTCCGTGTCTTCTGTAGTCACAGGCCAACAAAACCTAGTCTGAAAGATTCCGAAGAGAAAAAAGCCTTAAGTTATCAAAATATTAGCTTGAAATTGAAAGATTAAGTTTTTGTAACTAAGTAACCAGGTATTTCAAGTATCTTGTCTCCAAGTTTAAAATAATGTGCTCTGCAATTGAATGTTTAAACAGGAGGTGAGCCACGGGATGGAAAAGATGTCTTCATTTCTGTGTGATTTTTCTGGAGATGATTATAACAGTGAGAGCTCACAACCAGAACGTTCACCCAAGAGTCTTTTCAAGGTGATACTTCCTATGTGTCAAAAACCAGAAGGAACATCTGGATAACAGAAGGTGGAAACAAGTTGCTATCCCATGTAAAAGGTCTCGCTTTAAAATTACTTTCATAAGCCACTAGGTTACAGTACGGTCAATATTATCCCACTGTAGAACAGCAGTGCCAGCACACACTGCTAACACACGGTAGGCAAACTTCTCCATCCCCATCTTCAAAACATAATACAGAGGCACTGAAAAAGACACCCATGCCAGCACTGGGAGTAAGTCTATGTTCTTCAACAAGCTTTGGATCTAATTGTGTGAAGAATAATAAAAACAATTTCATGAAACTAATGAAAAGAGTTAAAATATCTGTTCATTTTAATTTTATTTTCAAAGAGCTTCAGTCACAAAAATGATTTACAAGTCTATTTACAATTCTATTGTACAGTTATTTATGTATGCCTCTTGACAACAGGGTACCATTCTAGAGCAGCAATACATATTTTAAATACAAAGATGCAGTATCATTTCAAATTTAAAAATAAAAAGGAAGCTGAGCTTCTAGAGAGCGCTGTAATGATGAACCTTTTAATCTGTGTTAGGCTTGAGGAATTCATGACAAACTGAGTAGTTTCTGGTTCACATAATTATCAAACAAGCTGCAGTTTGTTGAAAATAGCTTTAAAAACCTGAAGCTTTACTGTATAAAATCAACATATTCAAGACTCTAAAAATAGTCAAAACCCCACAGCTTTCCCTTAGACATACAAAACCCAAGTTTACAATTCATAATTTCATGGGAGAAATCCTACAGAACTTTAGCTCTCTCATTTTGTGATGACCAACATAAGCATTAAAAATTTGCAGCATAAAAAGGACTCCACATCTGCTCAGTATTATACTGTATACACAGATACAGTACAGGATTATTTACCCAATTTGGGATGACTGTTCAGCACAACCTTCATGAAGAAAGAAAAAAAATAAATAGAATTAAAAATCCAACAACTTCTTAAAAGTGCAACAGTAAGAGTTATGATGAATATGGACAGTCAGTTCTGTGGGTGTTGTAGCTGCTTCTACTCAAGCATTATTTGCAGCATTTTCTTTACAGTAGATTTAGTTCTATAGTACATGAAACAAGAGTTACTGCTAATTGAATCTGAAGGGAAGAGGAAAAAAAACTTTAAAAAATAACCCTGAGGGATATACAATTTAATGATCTTGCAATTTATTTCTAAAAAGTAACATTTATTATTTAGCAATTGCTTTTCTGGGTAGACCAGTCCTTTAAGTATGTGCATAAATAATATTTAAAAATCAGTAATATTTACAAATCCTAATACATCAAAGTAAAATACATACAGATTAAAGTCTGCATACACAAATAATTTAATAATAAATCAAACTCCTCAATGTAAGGCCAAAATATACAGCAGGAAGAAAATGTCTACCAAGTATCTAGTGGAGATCACTAAATTGGTCTGTCCACCTGAATTTAGACTTCCAAGATGAACATTAGAAAAGATTCTTTTCACTACAAACTGAATTTCATCTTACTTCAAAGCAGAAACTGAATACGCTAGTGCAGATCTAGTTTGCTGCATTTCTGAAAACCAGAAAAACAAAACTGCTCAAAATGAGAAAAATTATAGGTGGCCAAACTCGGCTCTTGGGCAGGAAGGCATAAATCCCAATAATTGCAGAAGATGCAAAAGCTTATTTTGTGGCTGAACTTGCAACAACAAGAAGGATTCTCAGAAAAGCTGATTTATTATTCTTGACTAAGCGTCAGAAGCAAATAGGTCAGAGCTCAAGCATGCAACCTCAAGAACATTTACTAACGCTGAACGCATACCTTGAGGTAACTAGCTCCCATTTGCAAAGTATTCAAGTTTAATAGGCTCATGACCCATTAGTCACTCAATCAAGTGGAGACACTTGGCAATATCAGTTTTAGTAAGAGTTCCCAAAAACGTTCTCTGAAGACAAGCCCACCTTAATAAGCTGTTTCCTCCTCACTTTCTCGATAAGTCTAATAAATGAGAATAAGATTGAAAGACTAGCTTCAGAAACCAAACAAGCCAGGAGAAATTATCAGTTTAGAGAAAGTATTAAGCAAAAGCACATGAAAGGGAAAGACATATTTTCTTTCACTTCTGAGGGAACAACCAAGCTAAAATAGTCAATGCAAGGGAAAGCAAAAGCTTATGCATTTAAGGATAAGTCACAGCTCCCAGGTCCAAGATGCATAGCTTCACAACATTTTTCAACTAAAATATTATATTTCTTTAAATCTGAATACTACTTACGCAGCTAAGAATTACTCTTCAATTATTCCATGCTACAAAGATTTTGTAAAATCGAGAGAAATTAGCCAACTGACTCAAGTTCATGATTAATAAATTTATCCAAGTCCACAACTGCAGACGCCTTAAAAGCTACTGATGTTGTTCAATGTCTATGACCCTAAGAAGCCAAGACAATAAGACTTTTACATTGCTCTGTTGAATGAATGTTAAGAAAACCACTTCCCCCTTCTTCCTGCTCCACTCCTCAAAAACAAACAACAATAAAAAAATCAGGAAAGAGTTGGCAGCTGGACTAGAGGATAGTACACAATATGCGTGCTATTTATGAGGAGCAAGTGCTAGCATCTTAAACCCCCAAGTTCTAGGAAAAAAGTCTTCCAAACCATTTAGCACCACTTTTAAATTCCCCATTGGCACAGTTATGTTCAACACCGCAGAAACCATAACATGAGCAGAGGGGGACACTGTCCATACTGCCTTACAGAACAGCACAAGGGAATTAGGCCCAATCTGAAAAATCCCCTTTATTAAAACAATGCTGGATTGGAATTGTCTCCACAGGAATTTAGAAAAAAAAATCCACACAACACCCCACAAATAACAAAACCTCAAATTCCATCATCAGAATACACACAATTCAAACTGATCCCAGCAGATCAGGAATCCTGAGGCCATCCTTCCATGACTACTCTAAAGGACCCAACTTTCTTCTCTAAAAGATCTCTACAGAATCATGACTTCTCCAGATCCCACATCCCCTTCCCAAAGCCTGAAGGTGTCTGAACCAGTCAGTTGCATCTGATCAAAACAGACTGATCAAGAGTCAGTATTTATATCATCTTCCCAAGGACACCAAAGACAACTCTTCTGAAAGTTTAGCAAGTTGAAGATGGTTCCAAGATAAGTAATTTGTGGTTTAAAGAAAAAAAAGGTTTATGGTTTGCACATGAAGACTATGCCTGCCTTTACATCTCTGCAGATCTGTTTTTATAGTGGTCTTGTGTTTTGACACCGCCTGATGGCAAAATGCTGTATTGCTACCCCAAGTGCTTAAGCAGCATTATTGGTGATGCAAGCTTTTCCTTTTTTTTGTTTCAAAAAAATCCACATAAGCCGTACACTTCTGCAGCAAGACAGATTTTAGCTCATCTATTTTATCTTAATTTTGTTTCATACAGCTACATATAGTGCTTAAGACACTGGCAGACTCTTTGAAATGCGTATGCTCTTAACATGCACAAATCCCAAGCGCGGGCATATGAAAACAGTCCTCCATCTCACCCCCATTTCCCTTGCAGCAGTAACTCTGGCCTTACTACTTCAAGGTATATAGGAAAATAATAATAAGATTTACAAATAAAACATGGTCCACAAAGGGATGATCCAACCCTTCTGCTGGAAAAAGCAAGATCTGTGGAGAAATGCATAGCTAAATGTAATAAAACATGAGGCAGAAGAAAGCGTTAAGATTCCCCAGCCTTCCTCCTCCAAAAACTTTAGAGTGTAGCCAAATGCCTCCTCCTCTGGAGGCCACCTAACCCCTTCCTTGGGGTTAGCTAGAAAAGAAGCTAAGAACGCACTTGAAAGCAATGTGCTTTCTTCTTAAGGACAGAGCGTATTGCTTCTACAGCATTCCCAATTCCTGCTCTGGCAGACTAAAGAATTGAAACTTAAAATTCAAACTTTACACCTAGAAACACTCCTAGTAGGGACAAACTTAGAAGAACACACCAAAACTTTAGAACCATTCTGAGGCACAAAGCTTTTCAACAGCAAATAGAAAAAATTAAAAAAAAAAAAAGGAAAAAATAGAAAAAAAAAGCATGACAAGGTTATTATGTGCCTCTAGTACTACCAGGAAACCATTACATCAGAGGGTTTACATGAACACATGTCCAGGTGAGCAGGTTAAAACAATGATTAAGATTCTCCAGGCAAATAAAGTGAAGCTGTTTTAACTGCCCTGCAGTTTAAACCTTCAAATAGATCTCACTCAGGAATAAAATGAAATTTGAAAGAAGGTGAAAGGAAACAATCATTTTTGTTTTTCCAAAGGTAACCTACATTTTTAAAATGTCTAGCCATAAGATGTCTGGTTCTGAACTTTGTATTCAGAGAGACTAAACAGTTGGAAATATCTGCATTAGAATTCGACCTTTAGTATACCACAATTTCAAATAGAACCTTAAAATTACATTCTTCTGAATACCACGAAAGACACATGCCACCAAGATCCACTGTTACGTTACAGTAATGATTTGATATGAACCATTTTCTTGGGATGGTGCTTTTGCCTCTGTTGTTGTTCTGGGTTTTGGTGGCCATTCTGGATCAACCAGCAGTTCCTGAGCTAGATGCATATACTTGGCTTTTGGCGTCTTCTCTCTACAGCCAAACAGGGAAGAAAGGAAACAGACTCCACAGCGATCCACAGCCTCCTGCAGAAGTGAGCAGATTTGAAAAACTGGATTACCATAAGAAAAAAAATCAATATAACTAACAATACAGTAATTCTCTAGAAAAAAAATCCTAGTTTCAAATTTACTACTTCATTGTTATGTTGAACATAGAAAATGTAGTACAGAAACTCTTCTGTTGTGTCATCTCTTCAATACTATGGTAGCAATGACATTTAAAAACATTAAGACAGACCAAGTATTCTGTATAATCGTAACACCTAGGGTCACAAACAGCTTTTGTGCATATTTTATAATAGTTTCAATAAACACAGGTACAACAGACACCATCAAATGATGTTACTATTGAAATATTAAAGCCTCGTCTACAAAAAGCAGTCAAATTCCCAGAGTCTCAAAACACTTTTTGAGCAATGAATTGTTTAACTGAAGGCAGCCAGATAGCCAAAAGGGGCAGAATTTAACTTGTTGATACGATCAAACTTAAGTCCTACAGGTATCAATAATTATTAAACCAGACACAAATTATTGAACTTAAAGTCTTCCTTCCTATCTTTCCTCTCCTAGTCCTAAATGCATATACGTTAACTAGCTGGAGAAAAGAAACACCACTCCTCCTTCTGAAGACTGGATCCCTCTCATGACTCAGATAGCACCTGTAGTCTGCAGGGCTGACATTTGAAGAGAGATATGTTCTAAGGTTTTCTTCATGCTCTGAATTTCTATCAATTGGTGAACTGAACCAAACATGAGCCTTAAGCAGAACTTCCATTCTTCAGTGAACACAAACCAATTTTTTTCTTGAACAGCCTCAAAAGGACAACTATAAATCTGAAGTGAATACATTTAATAAGTTTTAGTGCTGAGAAATAAACCATTGTAATTTGAACAAGAACAAACGTACAACCAGCTAGAAGTAATCAGCCAACTGGCTTAGAAAAGAAAATGCTATTTTTTACAGGATTTACATAGATTTTCTTCATGTATTAATGACAGAGGGGTAGACCAGACCAAGATTCATGGTCACCTGAAAAGCAGAAGCTAAATCCTTCAGTCTCCTAAACCACCTGAAGTAGTAATAATGTACTTTCATTTGCCATTTGGTTTCATTTCATTTGTATGTGCTATAAATTACTGCTCTCAGAAGACAGCATTCTAAAACCCTAAACCAAATTAATTTAATATATAATTTTATTAGATCCAGCATCAGCAATTCTGCTTCCAAGCAAATCAAAATATTCTCCAGTCCTAGCATGCTACCTTGGGACAATGCAAATAAAACTTGTTAATGTGCAAACTGAAGATAAAGTGGGAAAAGTCTTAAAAGCAACCATTTGGGTTTGCTTCACAGTTCTTGTATAGAGCTAAATTCTTTAAGTGTCAACAAGGAGAAAAATATAAAACCAGAAACCTTCCCTTTTAATATTCAAGTTATAGATATCTAATTTAAACAGTCTTAAAGCTTAAGATAAGGCAAGAGACATCATAAAAAAGACAAAACTGAATTAATCTGCATGCACTGAAACGATGACAGCAAAATACTAGTCTCCAACCTGAGGCGGCTGGGGTATGGTGAGGCGATATTCTCCTTGTTTGTCTCGATTGAACACAACCTTCCAAAGGATCATATCAAGGAGGACATTCTGTGAGACATTGCAGTGAGCGGGAAGAATTAAAGAAACTAATGATCATTTGTTGTTAATGTGCATATTACAAATAAAACCCGAAATAGTGTGTTAAGCATAACTAATTCAGTGCCAGGCAAAATGGAGAGTTTATGTTACTTGTCAGTAATTAAGTGATAAACATTTCCATTCTTAAAGTGCTCACATGAGATTTAAGAATACGAACAGGTACTTCAAACCAATAGAAACAATGACCAAAGCTGCATCCATCAATACAGGTAAAAATCATAAATACATATTCTTAATGTGATTCGATACTCCAAAAAAAAACCCAAAACCAAACCCCAACCTGTGAAGCACCACAGACATGAGTGCTTAGAGCAGTTTCCCCCCAAACCATCTTTAACATTAGAGTGTACTTCATCCTGGAGCTACGCTTTTTTCAGTTTGTTTTAAACCACTGATGCTCCCAGAAAAGCTTCAGTGTGGTGGCAAAGCGGAGCCACCAGCAGGAAGTCTGAAGGAATTCTGTAGGAGCCGTTCCAGATTTTAGAAGAGAACAGAAATGGAACAGAATGTTCAGTACATCTGGTTATTCTTATACGGCTGGGGAGGCAGACTAGAGAGCCTTGAACAAATCCGGCAACACAGGTGTGAACCTCTGTCTTCCATGGCCTTGAGTCTACAACTCTGATCTTTGGAGAGATTCCATTTCTAACATCTGACCTCTGCCGTTGAGGAAGGCGAGTTGATTAGCCAGACTTTTATAACAGATTTTATAATGCTGACGACTTTATAATATACCCAGATTTTATAGTGCTTTTGTAAAGCATTTGCCAACAAATCTTCAGTTTGTTAGATGTTCATTTTTGAAGCCAGTCTGGTTTAAGTATGTCTATAACCAGGCATTGGGGTAAGGAGGAACATCTGCTAGGATCTGCCTTTGTTGTGCAATATTTTCTATCATCTGGTAGAAAGAATATACGTGCTTTGTGAACCTAATCTGGCACCCACATGGAAGGAGCAAAAGCTTTACACAGCATTTCAGAAAACATGTTTGGGACAGTCAGAAATTTTTTTTTGTAGAAGCAATTAAGAAACCATGTACGATTGCAGTGTGACACAGAAGTGTCAAACTGATGTGTGACAAAAGAAGACAGATGGAATCCATGGTGTATCTCATCATTCTGAGACGTTTAGAGAGGCAATTACAGAGGGATTAGTCTCAGCAGAACAAAATATACCTACAGAGTACCTTCTTAAAAGAAATAAGGAGATGCCACCAGAAGCTTTTCCTAGATTCAGAATATGAGCTGTGGTACCCAGTAACCCTGTAGTGAGCAGAAAATCCAGCCAGGCCCACGAGGACAGAAAGGCAATGAGCCATACTGGAAGTGAAGGAGTGAAATAGCCCGAAATTTCTACACAATACATTGGACCCAAGGAGTTGGCACTACATGAAAATACTTCAGGGAGCCCAGAGTAACACTGCTGAGTTGGACAAACACAGTTCAAACAATGGGACAAAGGCAGGCTGAAGTTATAGGTGAAGTGTGTATCATAAAACAAGATTTAGGATTTGAGGATCACTAGACTAGGCTTCTGTTGGACACCTGCTGTACAGTAAGACAACTTATCTCTCTGTCTAAACAAAGCTCTCAACTAACAGTGAAAGTGGAAGAAATAGGTTTTAAGTCAAAGCAGGACATCCCAAACAAATAATGTAAAGAAAATGAAATTCTACAGTTACTTCTATGCCACTCCTAAAGTATGGGCAACAAGATAAATAGGAAAGTCTGGTTAAAAGGAACGTGACAAATCATCCTACCAGTTTTGGTAATGACAAGTGACTAAACTGTTGGAAGATGCTAACTCAAACCTGCATAGGAAAAAGAGGGGAGTGGGGTTTGAAATACTAGGTAAAAGCAAATGCTCTACAGTAATTATATTGCCTAGGTTATGCTTACTAGAAACTCAGAAGTTGAGAGATCGATGTGGCAAGCAACAACACCCAGGAGCGGAACCTTATGAACATTTAAGTCAAAGGAGAACCATTTGTCCTTGAGAGACATGTGCTGATACATGGACTGACACACTGTACAGACTTTCTACTAGAGCCCTTACACTTCCCGAACAGAAACATCGCCACATTGTATAAACGTTAGAAAGATCATCTGCAGTAATTTTTCAGCAGAAGCTAAGTTTAATTTATCTCTCTCAGTAAAGTTTATCCATGGACTGAAAATTGCAACCACCATCTATTTACACTCCAGGTATCAACACAAAGCTCAATTCCAAGGAATAATCTTAGTGTTTCAAAAAAGCTGATTTCCCAGACACGGTAATAAAACATCAAGACTGACTAGAAAGAGTAAACAGGAAAAAATATTTCTACTTAGGAGGTTTGGTTTAAATTTATCAGAAGACAAAAAAACCCCATGATTCTGCAGCTTCAGAATAACAATTTTCTTTCAGTAGCAAAGACTGCAACAGACATAGAATTTAACTTTTAGCAAATAAAAAAAGGTAAACTATTGAGAGTTTAGTATTACAAAAAATAATAAAGTATTAAAGGGCATAAAGGAAACTTCCATCACAAGCAGGGTTAGATTAAATATAGGACAATGTAAGAAAGGCACAGGATCTTTAGGAGAGGATAAAGTTGTTACCAAGACAAAAGCCAAGAAATGTAATACCTACTGCCATGTTTTGTAAAAGACAAGTTATCACCTATCATGTGAAAACACTGAAAAACATGTTCCATTAGGCAGCAACATAATAGCATGCATTGCAAATTCTATTTGGAACATTTTGAACACAAAGCCTTGACAATTTTGATTAAAGTATCAAAAAAAACCTGTCGATTTCATTTTTACTAAATCACAAATAAAAGGGAAAAAAATAGTCAACTGGAAAGAATATTAAAGCTGCAGTAATCTCCAAAGGCCAAAATGGTATGATCCAAGCAAACATTATGCTGGTTACCTCGACAGCAATCCCTCACATAGTAATGGAAATACTGACTGGAAGCTGCAGAAAATGTTATACAGTAAAAACAGATAATTGCAGTCTGCAAGCACTAGATAATGTTGAAAGGCTTTTTCATCTTGCAGAAGCAAAACAGTGACTAATGGCTGCAACCAAAACCCAAATGTATTCAGGTTGGAAATATGGCATCAATTTAACAGGGAGAAGAACTAACCACTGGAATAAATGACTGGCTTTGAATCCAGACTCTTTCTGGAAGATGTATTTGTCAAACTACAATTCTTTGAAACAACATACCTGGATGAAAGGTAGGGCATCTACCCACACTAACTCTGGAATTAGAGTGACTGACTTTGGACATGCTCAGGGCTAGAAAAAGCAGATCTACATGAACATCTCTACTTCTAGACTTGGATCAGATTAGATGAACAAGTTATATAGACCTGCATTATTCTCAACAACAAGCTATGTGCATGATCCAGCTGATTGAAGATGAGCTCCCGTAAGGATTCTATACACTTCTTTACTGTTATTCTGAACTGCATTAACACAGCAAATAATATGGAGAGTATTGTCCCATGAAACAATTGAAATAATTTATGTCTTTCAACTTTCCCCCCTTTTTTTAATTAATAAAAGAGGTTTTAAAATTATGCTTTTAACACAGCAAACCTTGACATCTTAAATCTAGCCTACAAGTACTTTTTACAAATACAAACTTAACAAGAAAGCAGTGATCACTTACACGGCATGCTGTGGAAACCTTCTAAACAGAACACAAACATGAAACCTAAAAAAAAACAAACTTAATAGTCAAGCATTTTTTCTATTTGAATTTCTTACCTCCATCAGCACGGATACAATTGCATTGATAATAACAATGAAGAGAATTCCTCGGCGCCACTCATATGGCACACACACAAGCTGTAAGAAAAAGTTGCCAGAGGTTAGCAACACATACGAATTAAGCACACACTCAAAACAGGTTCCGAGTTATAAATTTTCCTTTCCCAACCAGAGGTGCGAAGTTAAAGCTCTAAAGGGGTCACACTTGCCAAAAGGCAGACAACCAGCTATCCCAGGAAGTACAGACACCTGCATATCTGCTGAATCTTACCTCAAGAAATGCATCAATAGGTTCAACAGGATGCAACATGATGAATAATATGAAGACATAAAGAACTATCACAGATATAACAAACAGAACTGTAAAAAAAGAAAAATATTTTAATCAGACCATCTCTCAATCAGAGTTTTAGACAGTTTTTCCATGTATCACGGGTTCATTACTCCCCAGAAATAACCTCTGGATTTGGGCAATCTAAATTGTGCTCATAGCCATAGAGAGACAGAAGGCCAGACTCAATTTTTCACTGGCTCACTTGTGGAGCTGGAACATATATATAACACCTATACTTCTACAAGCAAAGCAACTATTAACACAAATTTCTCCATACAGTATAATAGTTCCCTATTTCTGTCTCTGACTACCAGAGGATAACTGCACTATGTTCTCCTAGCAACACTATTACTGCTGAAGTGGCAAAACAGAATTGTAAGCGAGCCATGGATGAGTAAGTGCACAGTCACCTGGAGTTTTACTTGGAACTGTATACAGTAAGAAAGGACTTACAATTTTTGTAGCATGGTTGTCTAAAGGGCTTTCCTTTAGAAAAGACAATTGCCACTATGAGGTACTGGAAGCTGGATATAAAAAACAAAGTTGTGTTTTCATAATTTTTAATGTAATGTTCATCATGAAGAGTCTCATTCCCATGGTGTGCAGAGGTGGTGTTTGAGGCATCCAACACATTACATGCACTACAACATAAAAAGATTAACACCGAATTAAGAAGATGCAAACAAGGCCTGCTTATTAACAAAAGTAATGACAAAACAAATTGCTACTGTAGTTTTAAAAAGCCTTGAAAACCTATTACAGGTAGTAAGAAATAACTCAGAATTGTGGCAGGGAGATAGCACTTTTTGTGAATTCTTTTATGCTTCCAGCTTATAAACTGGAAGCGGTAAACATGAAGTGTTTAGAAACTATCACTGTAGATACACTTTGAAGACAGGTAAAAAAAAATTGCAAACCAAAAAAGAGGAAAACATCTCTTCATTTTCAGAAATACAAATCTGATTTACTGGAACAGTAACAAGACAACAAAACTTTATGATATAGAAGAGTTAATATAGGCCTGAACAATTGATTTCAAATTTTGATCTCAACTGACCCAAAGCTGAGGAGTCTTCAGACCCTGCAGTCTGGCTCTGACTCAATTTTGCATTTCAGCCATTGGATAACTCCTGTGTATTAGTATGCTGTTCACAATAAAATAATCAGACTACCAAGCTACCATGCAGAAGCTTTATTTACAAAATCCCCAAAGGGAGATGACAAAGAGAGCAATTACTGTTTATAGCTTTCCGATCATTACTGTATCCTGCGTGGAGCCACTGAAACACTTACTCAGATTCTGTTGTCCAAGGTTCATACCAGGACTGCTGTTTGACCCAAAAAAACCCGAAGGTTTGGAAAGCAAGGCAGATGATGATCTGAGACAAAACGGAACACAGAAGTGGACCTGAGATTAGACCTGATGGAGGCCTTCGCGCAACAAGCTCCTTCCAAGCAGGGTTCAGACTCACTGCAACGAGAAAGAAAAATAAATTCCACGTTACATCATTATGGCTTTCAAGAATTAGTCACATTCTGTGGAATCAGAATGGCTCACTCATGACATCACTTTAAAAATGAGTCCAGAACTGCAAGTGTGAAACCACCTTGAAAAGATTATACCACACTAGAGTAATGCCACAGTGCCTTCTACAGGCTGGTTATCCCCAGCAGCACAGGATAGCAGGGGACAATAATAGAAGCCATGAGACTTAAGGAATTAATAGTGTCTGGCCAAATTCCCGTTGTCTGCCACAAGGACTTACAGCTCGTCTCCCCAGTTTTGGTCATTGCTTCAAAGCAGCAGTTTCTATGAAACTTGAAAATGGAATTCTACTGTTAGCCAGTAAGCTGAGTGCTAGGTTCATGTGGAATCAAATACTTCGCTAGATAATAGTTCTCAAGTATAACATTTTGTGAATGTTTTATTCAACTAAAAATGCAAGAAATACAAACATTTGAGAAAGATTATGTTGGAACAACTCCTGTCTTGATTCCAAAAACAATCTCCTCATGTCAGTAGAGATTCCTGACTTCCTGTACTATGAAGAACTCCTTTTCCAAGATCATGCTGATGACATTTTCACAAACTTCAGATGAATCTAACTCTGTACACAGTGGTTTGGTTTTTTAATGCATATACTGTAGTAGTCATAACATCTTAACTACATGTCACAGTGTTTACTCCAAAGCAGCATGTAATTAGATATTAAAGAAAATTTGACCAAGCAAAAACTGCTTCATAGAAGCCAGAAGGGATAATTCAGCACAATACTTACTAGTGAAGACAAGCACCAAAATGATTGCCAAATCAATGAAGAGAAACTGGAAATCTCCCAAATTGCTCAGGATCTAGACAGAAATCACAACTGAAATATTAGTTTTTTCTTTCACAGCAAGAAACAACTTACAGTGACACTCCCCTGGCATTAATTCATTAAATTTCACACTATAAACAAGACAGTCTCTTATTGAACTGGCATCCTTTATGTGCAGGAGTCTAGAGCACTCTACAATTCACAGATCAATTCCTGAAGTATCAAGGTATGAAACAATTCCATCTTCAAGCTATTTGTAATTTAAATTTGTTTGTAATCAAACTTATATTACTGAATTTTAACAACCAATGAAATAATAGCTTAGGCTCACAGTCCTCTAAAAACCATAATCTTACTATGTAGTCAAACAGTTGTCAAAATTTACAACTCAAAGGTCCTTTAATACTTTGCATGTTTAACTTACTCAGAATACAAATTAAAATACAGGATTTTTACCACAAGCCTTATTGTGAATCCAATCATATTAACCGGGAATACTCCACTTTCTTACCCCCTCCTAAATCAATCCTTGCAGCTGCTCTCTTTCAATCCTTACATAAAATGAATGCATTGCCCTTAAATCAAGTCAGGCTATTTTAAAATGTTGACAGTTTTTAAATAATGGAAAATTGTATTTTTGTTCAATGTATATGCTTATTTGGACTTCCCACTGTAGAGACTTCCTGTTCACAGGCATTAGCTATTGCCTTTTTTACATAGATACTACCATGTTTTTCATACAGTTAATACAAAAAAAAAAGCAAAAAAATACTAAATATTTTTAGTCCAGAGTTTTTAGAATGTGGGCACTGTGTACTCAAAGAGACTTAGAACAACTTATATTAAATAGCTTATAAATTGTCAGATCTCTGCATTACATTGACACTGCTTAAGCACAATAAAATACTTACCGAATATAGCAGAGTAACACTGATGTACTGGATAACGCTGTATAATGCCATGAACTTAAATACACAGAAGGAAGTTATTAAAGCAGCACGGCCTTCCCTGGCAAAACAAATGCAATCACATAACTAAAAAGTTTTCTGTGCAAGCAGTTAAACTCTGCTTAGCAAAATGTTAGCTGCAATTAAACATATCAGCTAATCCTTTGAGGGACATTAGGCTTGAGAGATCTGAAGAAGAAAGGGTCAGAATGGTACACTTCCAAGTACATCAAAGCTGTGAGCAGGCCTTCGGAACTGAGCCACCACCCTACTTGGGTGTTCTTTGCACCTTATGTGGCTTTTCCAACAGAGGTTTAAAAATGAAGGTGTGCTTGCAAAAGCATCTGTGAAGCACTAGTTTACTACATGGATAGAATGAACACACAGTCAGCCACAGAGTGCTGACTTCAGAAATGTTTCTGATTACGCATTACTTCCTTAGTTCCACACAGACTTAACCAGATTCTTCTCTGGCTGATGTTTATCCAAAATTATTACCTTACCTCCAATTGTAGAATCAAAAATTAGTCAAACCCTACTTAGAAACTTTGTTTTCTACTTTCTATGGTGCTGAGCTGAAGAATTTTACTGCTTGCAATTACACAGAGCCTTTGTGGAAACTAACACAGTCACTAAGACATCAAATTAAATACTAACATGCATAAGCTCACTCACACTCTAAAAAATTAACTTTACATGAACCGAAGTGTTCATAAAAAAACCACTAATCATGCTGTGGCAAACCCTTACTCAGAGTACCTTCAGTAAAGAAACACAACTACTGAAAAAGTACGGCTTGCTCTTTAATTCAAACTGGCCTCCTACAATATCAAACACATACTAACACAGGGTATGTAAAACCAGTTTCACAGATGCATTTAAGTTCACAGTAGGTGGCATTACCTGATCAGCTTTGGCACACAGGAAATACTAGGTGTCCTGGAAGTGAATGGTGATGCCACAGAAGCCTCAAGTTCAGACAAAGATATACCACCATGTGCTCTCTTTAGCGCCTGCCAGTTAACATTGAAACAGAGAACATTTTAAAACTTGCTTTCAGCTTTAAAATTTAACTGAACAGTCCTGTATGGAGAATAAAAATATACTTACGCCACAGTCATTTGCTCCATCTCCACACATGCCCACATAGTAACTACAAAAAACAAACAGATGTCATCATTCTGGACCATTCCCTAATCATAGTCCATTTAGCTTATTTCACTGAGGACTTCTATATTATACGACTCTTTCAGGGTTTGCATAATAATAAGTGATGGTTAAAGCTTAAATTACTGTTACCATTGTACACACAAGGAAGCAGACAGAAAATGAACATGACTTAGCCAGGTCAACCAAGCTAATAATGGTTATCAGCCCTCTATCATTCCAAGGTGGTGTAAAGCATCCTTGCTCTAGGTAAAGAGACTCTTGTAGCATTTTGTATAGCTGCAAGGCCTGCCACCAGCAGACAGTATACTGACCATATGCGTAGAGAAGTTATCCTGTTAATACTTCTTTATTACACAGAAGACATTCGATGGATTTGTTTATGAAGCCAAGCAACCAGATTTATAAAATGTTTTTTTCATAATTTGTAACTTCATGAAGTGTGAAGCTTCTACAAGTAGCCAGCAGATGGTACTGCTCTTTTTTACCAACTCACAGAAGAAGTTATACTAGCCCAGCCTTTTTCATTTGGCAAAACAGCTAGCAGCATACATAATTTTTCCTCCTCTCACACAAAACACTGTTAACCCTCCTGCTTTCTATAGTTAAGCAAATACTTACTCTACATTTTGTAAAGCTTCCACCAACTGAGTTTTCTGATCAGGTGCCATGCGAGCAAACACAGTGCCATGTAACACAAGCTGGAAGACAGAAGATTTCTTAATGCTCACAGGCCAAGACTGTTCACCATCAAAAGTGCACATATTCAACTAAAATGCTTACCTTGGGTACCAGGTCCTGAAAATGCTCCAAAATCACTGCAAATGACTTTCCATTCATTGCAAAATGGTATTTAGTCATCTGGAGATCCTCAAGGCTTTCATGGACCAATTTAACAGGAATATCCTATCAAAAGTAGTTTAATACTCTAGCTGTAGCGTATGTACACAGATATCTTGTAATTTCAAGATAATACTCAAAGGTATCCTTAGACATCCCATGCTAGAGGAGTTTTCTAAGGACATTACTTGAAAAAAAACCTCATACAATGCAAACACTTATTTAGTAATAAGAAAAAGTGGTTTAATGTTTCAACTACAAGCAGCTAGAGCAGTCTTAACAGATTGAAATGTTGGAAAAAACCTGTCTCATGCACAACTAAAAGGTTAAATATCACATCACAGTTGAAAAACTAGCTCTTCCAGCTGTTTCACTACTCTTTGGTCTTTTGAAATCTGAAAGTTAACTAGTACATCTATTTTTGACACTTAACAGCGCATTTGTTCCTTAAAAGAATAAGATAAAAAGAAAAAAACTCAACAGTAAAACTAACTGCTTACACTCCAAGGGCATAAAAATGCTCATATTACCTCTGAGTTTATGGCTGGTGATGAACTAGTGCATTTTGCGAGGGTATCTGCATAATGCCAGTTGATTCTGGCAGCCTGCCCATCCTTTGGAGGTAGTGCTTCAGCAATAATGACCTTATCCTGAGGTAGAATCATTCCACAGTCTCTGGCCACAGAGATAGCAGTTAACATGTTATCCCCTGTTAAACAATTGCATTTAAGAAGGTTTCAGTTAGAAGAGCATCAATAGGTATACGATACTCCATGTAAGAGAAAAGCTAACAAAGACAGTCTTAAACTAGGAGGAGGACTGCCTCACGCACCAGTGACAACCTCAGGGCAAACCAAGCCTACAGACAAAATTCAAAGTCTAGCCTGTTAACCCCCTCCCCTCCACTAGCATCACTAGAAAGCTTGCATGCTTCTTTCAGCCATAAAGATCTCTTATTGGACAAATATTAGTATATATTGAAAATCAGGCAGAAAACATGCAGCCATTTAAAATACTGATTTTTAAATATGGCCACAGAACGTGCAAACACTGAGCTGTATTGCTAGCCTATCAAAACATTATTCCAAAGTTGCAATACCCGCAATTTAAAAAGCAAACACACATATTGCATGGAAAACACTGAGCACAGATACCGAGCCTGCTTATGGGAACATAAGAAGTCATTCTCAACAAAAAAAAAAATCCAATAAAAAAAAGTGACTTATAACTAAAAATGGTAGGAATCCTTAGAAGGTCATCTAGTCCAACCCCCTGCTCAAAGCAGGGTCAGTTGTAAGACTAGACCAGGACTTCCCTCTAGTCTGATTTAGAAGACTTCTAAGGTTCTTCACCTTCCAATTCAGTATAAACTAACTTCTGCATGGAGCTAGGAAGAAGCAGCTACAAAGCAGAATTAATCCCCATACTGGTTTCTGAGCTCTGACTTAAAGCTACTTTCACTGAAAAATAAACACTGGTGTCTGAATATTCTCACAATAGTTTCTCAACTTCCTTCTTGCTATAAATACAGTGTAATCCCAACCTATTGACACTAAAATTTGACTTCATACACTGTAATTAAAATAAAACCAAAAAAGAGATGGATTTTTAGCTTTTGAGTGTCAATGTTCACATGCTAACCTGTAACCATGACAGTGCGAATGTTGGCTTTATGCAAATCTTCAAGTACAGCAGGGGTTTCTTGCTTTAGCTTGTTTTGCATTATAATTAACCCCAGAAAATCCATGTTGCTTTCAATAGAATCTCTGTAGAAAAGGAAGCAAGGGGGAAAAAAAAAAACCACAACATTGGAAGAATCACAATTATTAGATGTAGCTTGAAGAGTCTGATTTTCTGTTTATCAAGGTAAATGGAAATGTTTAACTATGAAAAGTAAATAATTTTATTTATAAAAAGTGACCTGAGAGATATCACCATTCACATTCATTTATACTTATCTCCCTTGTTTTAGTTTAAAATCACATATGCACAGCAGGGTTTCCACTACATGCCATTATCTTCAATAGACACAGATTATATAAGTGTGTTTAAGTTACAAAGAAATCTGATGAGGCTTTCTACCATGTTAGCACAAATTAAATACCATAAAGAATTATTATTAATTCCTAGCTTAAAGATGTTCCTCAGAACTCTCATTATTGTAGAAAAACTTCCTCATCTTAAATTTCTATATATTGTCCAGGGTACAAATAAAGAATGCACAGAACTGCATATGTCAAGATAGAAGAAAGTTAAGGAAGAGTGGTAATTGAGTTAAAGAAAACTAAATATTTCCTAATTAATCCAAAGCATGCAGCTTTTAAAGCTTGTTACTTATTTAAAAAAGTGAAGTCACTCTTACCTATTAATAGTCTGGACTTTGTGCCATGTCAGCTTAGACTCCAATTTTCTGTGAGCAAGAGCAATAACTCGGAAGCCCTGCTTAGTGTACTCTTCCAGGACACACTCAAAGTCAACAGGAACTTTAAAAAGGTCAAGTTTAGAATTATTAAAATTATTCCTATTACTGCTGAACTACACAAGAAATAAAAATAGTTTGTTGCTTTACCTGTTTCCTGCTTACACAAGCTGGCAATCACTTCAGGAGCACCTTTCATGTAAGCATCCATTCTCTTCTCCCCTAGAACTCTCGCTATTACACACATACGTTGCAAAACTGAAGAAAATGGAAACTGGCGGACAATTCCAATCTCATAACTCGTCTGTGCCATACAGGAAGGAAGGAAGAAAAGGATTACATCCATATACCTTTTGAAAAAAGAGGTACATGCTTAATTGAAGAAGCATACTTACCGAAAGCTCAAACAGTTCCTAAAAAAAGAAAAAAATACATTTACTGTGAATATTCAAGTGTTTTTTCAGCTACCAACTATTTCAATATAAATCAGTAAATGAATCTACACAGCACTCTCAACATAAAATCACATTGTATCTGCGATGGATCTCACAAAAGCTGAATATTAATATACTGCATCTGTTTAGTATCTTCCAAGTGAGACAGAACTTTAGAGCTTGATTTCTTGATTAGAATTTGCAAGACCTTTCACAAACAAACCTGTGTCTGCTTAGCCTATGTAAATGATTAAAGTACTACAGTATTTAAGAATGAGGCCATGATTATTAAGTATATCCCAAAGAAATCATGTCATAAGTTTCCAGAATATTCACATGTCAATTACTGCACGGTAATTACTGCTGAGCTTGTACACCAAGTTCTGAACAAAACAAGACACTTCTGTTATAATTCTGCTATACCTTCCTGCTATGTGATAACCTGGATATGCAGTCACATGCTTAAATTTCCCCTCCTGAAGTATTAAAAAAATACTTCAAAATGCAGACAGAAAGTGTCATATACCACTACCTTCAACAACAGTTTAAACATGTCTTCTCTATCTTTGCCATCAAAAAACACAAAGTCTGGATCCTGTTTGAATTATACCAGCCAGAACCACAGCACATGGTAAAATGTATTTGTTTAATGCAAAAGATTAACTTAAAGAACTGCTTTGAATTTTCATACCATTTCTTGATTTGTTGCTTGCTTGGATTCTGGGAAAAGTTGTTTTGAAGGTCGAACCACTGTCGGCTGGATTTGATTGTGAAGGGCTGTTTCCTCTTCAGTTGCTTCTTCTAAAATCTGTGTTAAAAATAATTAGTTTATACATTAACTTTGATTTTCTCATAACATAATTTTCAGAAAAAAAACTAGCCTTTGAAGTCAGCCCAAGGTGCAGTGATATTTCTAAACAAGATTTCCTGTAAGAATTGTGTCTTAATTCAGCAGTTAACTTGAGATCCACTTAGCTATTTTACACGTTTATTGTATGCATTGAAACCTTGCCACATACAACATCAGAAAGCAGTAAATTAGCTCTTCAGATTCTTTCAGTTCTATGAATCGGAACACATTTTAGGAACATTTTCACACTAAGACTTCCTCTGACACACAAGCATTGACAAAAGCCCACCATTTGACAGTTACAGCTTGAAACAGCACCTAATGGCTTATATTGCATATAACAGCATAGGAAATTTCAGATTACTGATCTTAAAAACGTTGCTTCTCTAGAAACAAGCAGACACTTACCCATCCTATTGCTTCAAACATCTTCAAATCAAGCGGATCCCCAGAAAGTACCCCTTCAATTTTTGTAAGGGAATGACAAGTTGCCATGCAAGCAACAAACTCAGACTTCAGCAAGCTCTCACTGCAAGGCCTCTCTTCCGGCAAAAGGAAACTAAAACAATGAAGTTATATTATACTTAGCACTGTAATTATTTATTATAAGCCAATTCAAAAGGTTTGTTTGGATTAACAGAAGAAAATTGACTGCACAAGTCTCTTCACTTGTACTTTCACACATTACAGAAAACAGATTAAGACTCTGGGCTGGAATATTCAGAAACAGTCACAACTTCTGTCTCCTTCAAAAACTCTGTGTTAATTCATTGTCTAGTTTAATTCCTCATAGAGAGGCCTCATCACTTTGTACTTAACTCAATTAGCTAAGCAAATTCATTTTAGCAGCCCAAAAAGTCATCACATAGGAGGACAGCCATAAGGAAGCGCGCTATACTTTAACTGCATCATTTCTGCAGTATGAACCTAAAGAGGTCTCAGACTAACAAATTAAAAATCCACCTCAGCCTCCTGAGAGTTAACTTTAATTACACCTTCCTACAGCTCATTACAGAAACGCAAACATATATGAGCTCACATTGAATTTTCTATTCTATTCTGATGAAGCTGTTAAAGCACAACTGAATATCATTCTTGCTATCAGCTCTGAGCTTATCCTTACCGAGCATTTTCCACCCGTTGAATTCCCCAAAGATCCAAGCCATCCTCAGTAAGCGTGCCAGTCTGCAAAACAAACGAAGGGGTATGGCAAGAAGAAAAAGCCTTCAGAGACAAGTTACCTCAGGTAAAGCAAAAATTACAAGCTAATTAATCAAATTACACCTGAAGAATAGATTTTGTTTTCACTTAAAAATCAACACTTCAGGACAGGGAATGCATTATCTCCCTTGTTTTTTGCTATTAACTAAGTTCCAACTCTGTTAACTTAAAAAACCATTCAAAGCAATCATGCCCCTCCTTGGAGAATGGGCAAATGAAACCGACCCTTAAAATCTACAGATGATGGCTCAACACCTCTATATTCAGGGGTTTGGGGTAACAGAAAATAGGTACTAAACCCTCAGGACTAACTTCTTACACAGCTAAAACAGCAATTGGAATATGTTTACAAGGGAAACAATAAATTTAGTGTGGCTACTTAAGACTTCAGATAAAAATCTAAGGAGGAAGATAAATTTTACACAAGACTTAGCTAAAAGCAAAGGATTCTGGCTAGTGGCATTACTATCTTTCACTCACGTTTCCGTTAAGGAATAATAATAAAATGTGCTGGTTTGGCTTTTCATTGAAATAGATGAAAACAAGAAACAAGTCTGACCTCACACTTTGATTTTCCAGAAGCCTGTGTACTAAATAAACCTCTTAATAGTCCCCAACTCTCACATTTCTGGGGTGCCAGTAGTAAGTTGGGACTTGGGAGTCTTGAGATCACAAAGTAGCTCTGTATTATAACCACTTTTTAGAGCAGACTAAATTGAGTTAACAGGTGGTAAACACTGAATACCCGGAAGCTAATAGGACAAAAATTATCTAACTTATACAAAAGTAATGAATTTTCCTGTAGTTGCTAGTCTATATGAATTCCCATTTATAATACAATGTCTCTCCAGGTAGCAAAGTTTCAAAATTCACCTAACCTTATCAAAACACACAAGATTCAGCTGGCCACAAATATTTATCCTTTGTGGGCTGATACAGAAGATACCAATTTTCTTCAGCCTTCTTTGTGCATAAACAATGCCAGCAGTCATGGCAGCAGGGAGCGCGGGAGGCACTGTGATAGTGATAATGTCAAGAGACTCAATGATGATGGTATGAGCTGGAACCTGCAATGAAGGCCAGAGTTAATGCACAAGAACTCAATAAACGATTCACTATCCCACTGAAGTATTACATCACTGTTACCAAAAGCAAAATCCACACATTGCTTTCCCCAATATAGCATGTTCTGGATTGCCCCAAAACCTAGCACAATCTTCACTCACCATCAGCAGCCTCAATAATCCTGTCCTACATTATCCACAACCCATAACTTCAAGTTTTCACTTTTTCCCCTGCAAATATATTACTTTAAAACAGTAACTGAATAGTGCAACATTTTTAGAGATTAAAAAAAAGTTAGGGTTATCAGGTTATCAATTTATTGGTAAGAATTTTTTGCCTGCAGCATGCTTTAGAAGTGCCGTATCCTATTTCTTCAAACTGGATATCAGTCAGATGATAATCTTATCTACAATAAAGATAAAAGTCTAGTAATTGGGTCAGTAGAAATTGAGGAGAACTCAAATTTCACTGTAATATATTCAAATTCTGCTTTTCTGGTGGTAAGCTTGTCCTCATTCCAAAATAAAACAAAGAAAATTTCACTTAAAATTGAATTGTTTCGCATCATCTAAAGTGTGTTGGAAATCACTATCAACACTTTTCTAAAGTAAGGCAGTTCTGGATCAGGAATTAAAACATACCTCATTTAAGATGCTATTGACAACCGTGTAAAGAAACCCAATGCCTGCCACCACTACCAGAGACAGGAGAAACAAATAGGCATCTCTGTAGAGTTTAAAATCAGTTGGCTTTGGATACAGTATGGAACGAACAAGCTGTCCTTTAGCAGTACTAAAGCCTAGAAATAAAAAGGAGTAAGTTATTGAAAGTATAAACAAGAGCAAGGCTATTCAAATATATTAAAAACCGCAATTAAACCCTTAAGCTAGTCATTTCATTAAGCCTGTTTCTCAATACACAGTAACAGAAGTTTTGCAATACAGCAATTAAGTTGTTTCAAAAATGTACATGCACATCATACTAACTGCTTCTCTCCTGTAGCAAGGACATGCAGCTGATGCAAATGAACCCCTCTTCTATAGCGACAGTAAACCTGCACATGGTTTGGCCTGGAAGAGTTTGTTGTACTGCATTTTGTCCCTCACAGTGCAGAGCTAGTGGGTGTATTTACTAGTTGTCTAATTAAGCCAGTCCTTCCAAAAATAAAATGAAGTTATTCATAGAGTCCAGCCTTAAGTACTTAAATGGAAAGTCTCTTATGTCCCTTGATAGCCAGAAAGATTCAGAAAAAAACTGCAGCATACAGTGTCATCTTTTGGAGAAACTCACCTCCTGATGATATTTCAACACCTCAACTAGGAGCCTTGACTTCTGTCTTAGAGCCAGACAACCAATGGATACTCTGAGATCCTCCTTAAACCTTTGCCTTAATGTGTGAAGAGGCCAACACCAGTGCCCAGTTTTGTATGCCCGAAACACTGTGTATCTGCTTAGACTTCAAAGTCTGTTCCTACAACCTCAAGATCACTATCAGGTCTGCTGGCATTAGCGACAGCTCCTTGACAGCTTCCCAGGCTGCAAGCCATCCCAGCAAAGGCTAAGTCCTCCATGCTGATATTGGCACACAAGATTCTACCAGAATGAAGCAGCTATTGCAACAGTCATAAAGAAGATGAATTCATCGCAAGAGGAACAAGGCGTGAAGCCTCCAGGCTCTTAATTTGCTACTGCAGAACACAAACCATGGGCCTGTTCAGAGAAGTTCAGCATGTCAGTACGGACTCGAGTATTTAGTCACGAATGTTTTATAATTTGATATAGCAGTCAAAAAAAAAACAACTCAGAACTACTTCTGATTTTTTTTTAACAGTTTTGCAGAAGGTTCTGCAGCCACAAAGGCTAGAACACACCAGGGTAAAGCAATAAATGAAAACCTCATGTGGTGACTTGAGAACACACTGGACATACAGACAGCTTCAGTGAACATTTCCATTCTCTACAAAAATAACCAGTTTTTAATTCTTTAAAAGTACAATAGCAGCCACAACTACATACACACTAACATATCCATCAACTGAGTTTCAGGAGCAGAAAAAATGAATACATTTAGTTCATCAGTATTTTATGTATATTTCAGCTGTAACATCGAACATTTAATGTTAAAGGCTTAACTCTGAAGAGAACAGCGAGTACACTCACAGCAGATCAATCTTATATCCTGATTTACAACAAGATTAAGACTACATATCTTTGCACACAACCATATGGAGTTCTGCTCTCCTAGAACTCTCTTAAGGACACAGTTTTCTAGTATCTTCAGTTTTGTGGCATCCTCCTCCCTCAGATAAAGGCATTTTTACTTGCATCTCACTAGCTAAGAACTACTTTGGCTCTTACTATTGAAGATCTTAGGAGTGAGAAGCTAGAAGTGCTGTGACATCTATCCAGTTCTGTGGAGTGGGAAATTCCCTACTAGCCTAAAAGCCATCCCTGTAAACCAGACAGGAGAACAGAGAGGATTTTATATCCCTTTGTGCCTCTCTGTGTATAGTCACAGCAAGAAAAGTGTACTTGTCCATATGTAAAATCTGAACAAGGTCCACAGAGCTAAATTCATCCTGTTTACAACATAGGAGCTAACTCCGACCTGTCATGGACAAAGAGCAGATTAAAAAAATTACTTCATATGTCAGGGCTGTAAGACTCTGTGTTGGAAGCAATTAGAATTCTCCTCATAAGAGTTCCAAGCCATGGTTTCAGACTTAAAAAAAAGAAAATTATCCTTCCTTGTTGCTGTTTTGGACCACCTATCTGTACATACACATCAGGCTGGGCACCTAAATTGTATTATTTAAGAGACAAAAGAAGTTGAGATGGATATTATTAAAGGGGAGATGTGTTCAAGGGAAGGGAAATACTTTTCTTAAAAAAAAAAACCACACTAATAAAAGCCTCTGGAAAGACATTAATGAATATAATAAAAAAAATATGAACATATACTGCTAAAACAGACTAACAGAAGGTGAAGACACCGAAGAAAGAAGAGGCTAATTAGGATGAAGTTACTTGTTGGAAAACTTGCTTCAAATAGTATTCTAGCCAATGTAGTCAAATTTATTCTATCCAATTATATTGTAGCTTGGATTATAGCTTACATTCATCTATTTTGTGGTGGTTTTCTTATGATGATATTTGTAAAGCAGAGTCCCGTAACTACATTAGTCTGTGCAATTGTTTTTAATCAAACATCTGTATTATCTAAAACCAAACCCCTAACATATTAGGATGAACATGAACAAACTTCTGTAGGAAGGGCTAAAATGAACACATTTTTTTAGGCAAATGTTATGTGCTTTGACAAAACCATGGGCAAAGAAAAACATCTTATATTGGCAATGACTCCACTGAAAGAAGCCGTTCCCCACTTCCCACCCAATCCAATGGTACGCCAAACCTTTTCAAAGAGGCGTATGTTGTTCAACCAGCACACCACAAAAGACATCTAAAGGACAGGAAAATGCACTCAGGTAAGTTTTAAATCAATGCTAGAGACTGATTCACTTTCTTGCTTGTCAGCTGATACTCTCCAGGCCATTATCTAGTTCTATTATTGTTGTAAGACATTTATCAAACTATTTGGGGCATACTCATTTGTCCAAGCTTAGCAACATTCAACACAATACTCCAAAGTATCAGCTGACATACACCTACAAAAGCGAGTAGTACGTTAACAAGTGATACGCTTAGCAACTGGTACCTGTTCTCACTACTAGAGCTTTGACCAATTCTCCAGTATAAAAACGGGTTTGAATGACGTTGGTTCCACAGAACAAAGTATGCCGTTTGTGTACTTCCGGACTGTATATTTCATCTCCCGTTGGTTTCAGATATTCTGAAGGATTTGGTAGATTAATCTTTGTGACAGGAACACTTTCACCTTAAATGGAAAAAGAGTCTCTAAGCAAGATCAAATAAGAAGAGATTTTTTTCCTCACAACTTCAATTAGAACAATGTAATCTCAATTTTAGGTAGTCTCTCATTTATTAGTCTCAGGTCACCAGATTCCCAATTCAAAACCTTTTTAACTGTAACACCTATACAGCTTTTGTGCCTCTTACTTCAAATCAGACAGGTGTAAAATACAGTTCATTTTAAGAAAACAGGACAAGCTGTCTTCTCCTGCTGCAAGGCATCACCACATCTTTACTCAGAAAAACTAGAAGCTGAAGAAAATTACTCTCTGCTACTTTGGTGACTCAGTACACTCAAGCTAGGGCTGCAATAAATTTTTAAGGTACTAGCAGCAGCGAGAGGCTCAAGTATATTCAAATAATTGAACATGATAAAACACAGTCTCTGAACTACAATTTTCTAAATGCTGCCAGTTCAGACAGAGTATCCTAGGAATAACAAGTCCATCATACTGAAGCTCTCCTTCAAATACACCAGGTCCCTGGTTTAACCACAGAGTACACAGGCACAACTTGAGATAATAATTTCCAGTTTTAAATATACCAGAATATTCTACTCACTACCTTCCTTCTTGGAAGCAGCTAAAAAGTTTGGGCAAAATTTTTTTGAAGAAACATACTGCAGAACTCAATCTGTACTGAGAACACAAAGTCAAGAGGCAGGAAGACAAACTATCAAGAAAAAAAGCTTTTCAGCAAAAAACCATCACTCATTTTTGGAGCTGCCAAGCAGTACCAGGTAGCTGTTGCACATAAGCAGAACATAAGTACAGGAGTACTTAGAAGCAGATTTAATTGCAAGAACATCATATTTCAAACAAAAGAAACATATTCACTTCTGCTACAGCATACTGCAAGTTAAGCATGCACACAGGTATAAACTATATTCTTAGCCGCGCATAACTGTATCAAGTTTACTTTACCTGTTAACATACTTTCGTTTACAATGCAAGTACCACTGAGAAGGACTGCATCACAGGGCATAATTGTCCCGTTAGATGGAATCAACATGATATCCCCAGGCACAAGGTCAGTGGAAAGGATTTCTTCTATTTCTGAGTGTTAAAACACAAACAAGTTTACTTGAAAATAACCACCATCTACAAAACCTGATAAAGATGGCTAAGATGGCTAAAATCCAGGTGGTGACAATTAAGATTACACTCCATTTTCTTAATGGCATTATGAAAAGTTTTTGAAAAGATACAGTAAAAACCACTGAAACACCCAATCACAACACAGATTAGAGCACAAATAGTTCATCATAACAAATGAAAGGAACCAAGGTTGTACAAAAGATATAAACAACTAACTAAAGTATAACTTCAGAATAAAAACAAGTCCAACACAAAGGTATGTCTTACAAAACAATATCACACACCACAACCTAACCATCTTCATCTACGGTGGTATCTAAATGAGCAAAAGTCCAGAAATCAACTTGCAGCCCCTACTGGGTAATATATTGTAATGGAAACAAAACACATGCACGTCTTTAAGCCAAGAAAGAAACTACAATGAGGATTACATACGTGGAGTGGCAGATAATGAGAAACAGGAATAGGACAAGCACCTAGTCTAGAACAAACCTGACACCTGCTAAAAATACCATCTAGAACAGATAGCTATCCTATCTAAATACCACTTTTCAACTTCTCCTCCTCCCATGAAATTCTGCTAGGAAATGCAAGCACTTGGAGCTGATCAAAGCAAGCACAGATGCATACCAACTTTACACTCACACTTAATGAACAATTTAAACTCAACCTTTCAAACCACCTGTGAAACTTACCTTGGTTTCCTCTGCAGACAGAAACCCTGACAATGCTGTGAGCTGCTACCATGTCATGTAACATAACATATTGCTGCAAAGAGGAGAAAACAGTACATTATTTAAAACCAAAGTTTGTCTTCTTCTAAACGAACACTATCTCTACCTGCAGAACTGACAAGATTCTTCACTAACGTACTTTTTACAACAAAATGTTTCTCAAAACATTCTCTTGAACATAGTTTAGGAAACTTATGGGCAAAAAATGTTTGACTGCATCAACCTGTACAGGTTCCTACCCTTAACAGCATTCTGGAAGCAGACATAGACTGCCATGTAAAATCTTATAAAAACATTTGGTCATTAACATACATTAAGCAAAAACTGCAGTAATTGTATGAACTTGGACTAAGGTAAGAGGGGTTTTTTTTGACTCTAGTCTGAATTCAGAGATTGCAGTTTAAGCATAATTACTACTTTGATTTCCATCAGCTACAGCTAAGTCTACAGAGCAGTATGCATCATCAATTTAACAAACTTTTTTGAACAGAAGGAAACAATGGAAGATGGAATCTGTCAATACAGACAGACAATACTGTCAATACAACCTGATACATAAATTTGTATCCCAGTTTTATTTAAGTGACGTAGTGTTTCTGTTATCTGACATCAACCTACTGATTGAACAGCACGAAAATCAGCAGAGAAGAGTCTCAGAGAACTGTAAATCGAAATTCTTTTAGCTCAAAGAGAGAAAACCAATTACAATATTCTACTTATATACCTCTGAAAAATTCTTAAAGATTGAGGCAATTTCACATCAGAATAAACCAATCAGTAAAAATCTGAAAAGATGCATCTGTTTTCTCTGAACTTACCTTTCTAATGGTGTAGAGTGAGCTAACAATGGATATTACAGACATGATCACAATTGCTAATGCATAGTAGTGATATTCATCAGTGATCCACAATATCACACTGAACAACTGAAAAATGTAAAAAGGGTTGAGAACCTGGAAGGGTGACAGAACATTAAAGTTACACCAAAAGGTCACATGCATTCTCCATCAGAATAAAGTCAGAATCATCCTCCTTCTCCATGGAGCAGACAAACCTGTCAGTTTTTATACATATTTTCACCTGTTTTGCCAAACTGCTCCCTTTTTTTTCACTACTCCCTCAACCCCTCAAAAGCACAGTTCCCACTAAAATAATACACGAATACGTACTTTTAAGACACTGTACTTTTCCCCCTACATCTCAAAGCAAAATGATGGGAACATCTGATGCACATTAAGTTACAAAACACATTTGATTTGATGCGTATGTTGTAATGTATAATCCCTAAGGTTGACAATGGAGAATACAAATTGATCATTTTATGTTTGAAATCAACACAAAAAAAAGACGCACATGCTCTAAAAGAATTCGACATAGAAGATTTTCTAACTTCCTTGCTAAGGCACCAAGTTGTGAACTCAGAAGAGCTTATAGCTAAAGCCTCTTAAGTTTGAAGAGCTCAAAAATAAAGGTCCATATCATTTTGCTTTACAGTGCTGGGCTCTGGGAGAAGGTTTCTGTTTTACATTATTATTTGAAAACCAGTCCAACAGTCATTGTACTTAAAGTAGCTTTTAACAATACACTTTTTTTTTCATTTGTTAAAGAAAAGATCTTACCTCCTTAATCAGAAGCTTAAAAATGGAAGGCACTTTCACAGCAATTTCATTTACTCCATAGAATGCTTTTCTGTTTTAAAAAAATAATTTTTATTAAGAATCTTGTTTAAAGTAATTCCATTAACCCTTTTATTTATCATATTGTTTCAAAAAGCATTTATCAAAAAATGTTTACCTACTAAGATGTTCCAATACGAAGATAATTATTTTATACTTCAATTTAAACTGTAACTTTATTTTTAGGTTCTTTCATAAGACTTCCCTGCAAACTGTATATAGGTCTAATGTTATTAAACATGTCATTCTGAAAGCCAATATGGGGTTCTCATTAACTTAAGTTCAAATAAGTGTTAACACTTATCCTGCAGTAAGACACTGTTTTCATGGTTCCCCATCTTAGTTTTATTCTTAACATGAAGAAAGGCAAATCATGAGAGGGAGGGCAAGAAATTAACCTCTGATGAGATCTGACCTGGTTGAATTACACTGACATGAAGAAGACCTTAAAGGATGTTCCTAAGTAAAGGGCTTTTCTTGTAATAAAGGCCATAAATTCACAGAAAACAGACTGAAGAGCAAGCAGATACTGCCATATTTCACTCATTTGCAAAAAAATCTATCCAGGAATGCAACAGAAGTCAAACTATTCTAGTTTGGGTAATGGTATCAATGAATTAAAACACCAACAATTTAGTACGTACAGGCATTTTCACAATATACATTCCAACCTGCTGTTCACAAGAATCACTAGTGGTTCACTAGGTACCACTAACTACATTTTAATGGTTTTTCCTAGACGAAGTTCTTCTCTAACTATGCACTTAAGTATGCTTAACAGGCAAGGTTAAAAACAGCCAACATGGTTAAAAACAGAACTGCTTGCTATACTTTTTGTACTCATTCTATTTCAAAATGTTAAGTAGTAAACACAATTTCAGAAATATATTCTAGCATTATTTTAAGCAATAGTTCCAATTCCCATGGTCAGCGTAGTATGAGAAAAGTAATTCAACACAGTATCGGAGACTAGTTCCTACATAACGTATAGGAAAGAAAAACTAGAATTTCATACATCTGCCAGCCTTCTTTGAAAGGAGTATAAAAGCCTGTCTGTAAACACTAATCACTCAATTGTCTTCTAGTTTTGTTCACACTTGGAGCACAGGTAATGGAATGAAAACCACTGTTCCCTCAAATACTGTAACATTACCTGTAGTCATGCATTCCCTTTGTCAGTCCCGTGCTGTGTTCATTATGAATTGAAGAACAGAATGTAGATTCATCTAGACCTCTAAGTGAAGGAAAAAAACCAATGAGTTATTTAAGAAACCTGATATTTAAAATGAAGCATTCAGTAACTCAAAAGAGCTAGGTCTTTGCCAAGAGTTACACTGTATTATAAACGAGCAAAGCCTATGGATTAATGTTTTTCTAGCTGTTTCTGTCACAACTGCAGATACCAACAAGATAGTAAAAGCAGTCCTCTTGTTGACATCTTACTCTGTAGGATAATCCTACCTACTTCAACCAAAATGGGGACACACTTAAAAAATGAAATAAAATATTAGCACTACTAGTATTCAAAGGCCTCTAAAAAGACAAAGTGAGCAAGTTTCTAAAACATTATACGAAATCAATATGGATTAATATTTCTTCAAATTGTCTTCATTTGCCTCTAAGAAGTAATGGAAGCACTTTAGAAACAATTGTTAATCGATTTATCAAATAAATCCATACTGAAGCTATTTTGCAGCATCTTGCTACCAAAATCTTCTCTTTGACTAGCTAAAGGACAGTCTACATTTCAAGCACGTCCTTATCACTGGAAGACTCATCTGCACAGGACTTTTCTACATGCTGTGAAAGCAAATTCTACCATTTAGAAGACCTGCAGATAAGCAAGCACACCTGAAACATGGTTACAGCTATAGGATAACTTCAATTACGAAACTCAGTAAATCAGACATATTATGCCCAATATCCAGGCATACTTTGGATGCACAGGAAAATATCATTACCTTCCAAAGGGTAACATGACAAAGGATGACATGACAAAACTAGCACTATTCAACACAAGTCTTTTTTATATTGGATATCTATTAAGTTATCTACAAAAAAGGATCCAGAGTTGTCACAGTGAAGAAAAAAAAAAAACCTCTTTATTGTGCATATGTAGTAAGAATTATTTCCATTCTCTAGAACACAGTGAAAGCATTAAATATCCTCACTACTGCAAAGGCTAGAATCATGTTTCTGCCAACTTCTCATAAAAGAACAGAAGGTGAAAATGTTAATGTGTAAATCTGATCACAGGACTACAAGGTTTCCCTAAAATTTTTCAAGTTCAAGGGTTTTAAAATTACAACTTTTAGATGAGTAAATATACAACTCCATTAATAACTGTGCCTTTCTTCCCATTCTATTCCAAATGATTTAACTTTTCCCACACAAAAAGGAATGTAAACAGGGGGTTTAAGAAGAGCCCCTAAAATTAAGTGCTTTATATGCAAATATGCATTCCTATGTGTGTAATGTCCATGCAAAGACAAAGCTTCTAGCAGGACATAATCTGCTTTTTACAATACTGTTACAGTACTGAATTCCCAGGGCACTTAAAAAAATCCCTGTGTGCACATATTACATAAAGCACTCATCAACTCAGATCAAGTTGACACTAGCTAAAACAAAACAGACATACAAGGTCAAAGTTGCATCCTCTTTGGCTACATGACCAAGTCTGATTTAGTTTAAGAATTATACTTGCATTTCCTGTGTTTAAAACAGTGATCTTAATATTTCATTATTATAAAAAGAACAATGATATGAAACTCAAGCTTTCATAACCAAATTAGCTGCCCAAGAAATCTTAATTAGCTTCCCTTCTGTATTGTGCTAAGTCTTTAATTATGTGATCAAACAGTTTTGTCTATGGATACTTGCATAACTAACTGCACAGAGGAAATTATCTATACAAGACGCAGTATTGTACTTAGATCAGAACTACAACTGTGTTGCTTGCCTTATGAATTTACTATAAAGCCCTCAGTGTCATATCTTATCTCTTTACAAATATAACTTGATTCTCTACCATGTCATTAGGTAATACCAATTTCTGTTTTTAACATAAACTGAAGAACAGATTAAGGAGGTTGTAGTGAGGTGGGTGCTGGCCTCTTCTCTAAAGTAACAAGTGATAGGACAAGAGGAAATGGCCTCAAGTTGCCCCAGGGGAGGTTTAGGCTGGATATTACAAAAAATTTATTCACTGAAAGAGTGATCAAACATTGGAAGAAGCTGCCCAGGGACATGGTGGAGTCACCATCCCTGGAGGTGTTCAAGAAACGTGTAGATGTGGTGCTTAGGGACATGGGTTAGTGAGTTAGGTGGCGTTGGGTTGACGGTTGGACTTGATGATCCTTGAGGTCTTTTCCAACCTTAATGATTCTATGATTCTATAAGAAAAAGTATCTCGATGAAGGACAAATGTTTAAGACTACTTTTCAGAATATTTATCATTCATAACTTTAGCTACTATTTCAGAGGTGGCATCTAGTACTTCACTACATGATCACACCTAATTCACTTAGAGAAAAGTTACAGCAAACTCTCATTCTCGTTTGACCTTGTGCAAAAGTGACTTAGCACTCTGACAGTATTGGGTATGTCTTGGATTCGGTTCTTTCTCCTCTTTATCCAATTGCTAAATAAGGGTGTCCAGCTCAGCTACAGTACCTGACTAAACAAGTGGGCAGGCTCAGTCGTTGCTAATACATCAAAGAAATGAAAGTTTGGCACAGCAGCAAAAATGCGATTAAAGAAATGCTCACATAACTTCACAGGCATATCTGAGATTTTTCTGGGGCTTATAAATTGGCTGAGTTATCACAAGAATATCAAAAGGCACAGTCAAGCAGCCAACAAATGCCAAGTTTCAAGTCACTGATTTAATGCTAAGGAACAACATTTTTTACTAAACATGTGGAGTCGTATGATTTTTTTTCCCATACTTGTTTCTTAGCATAGAAATATAATTGAGGTTTTTTTAATCTCATCTTTGGGGAAATTTGAACCTTTGAACAATTTAAATTAGCAACACTATAGGCATGAAAACAGGACTGTGTAATGCAAAATAACAAGTGTCACTACCTGCACCACTGTAATTCATGAGACCTAACATAAAAAATGCATAGAAAATTTTTAATTATTTAGACATGAACTGAGACATTTCCACCCTCCCAGAGGAGGAGTGCTCAGTTTTGTAACTGCTTGTATTATGATAATTTCTTTAAAATGTTGTAATTGGTGACAACTTTCCACACTATTTGCACGTGCTTTTTCTGAAAACATAAGAAGAAACATACTCTGCAAATGCTTCTTAGAGAAGTTATGGCTATTTTTCTTTCCTTTGGTCACTGGTCATTAATTTTTTTCTATACATAGTGCTTGGACTTTTCCATGTGATGGTTCAGTGCAGTGAACATTGATTTATGTTAAAAAGAGGTTATATTTCTGATCTGAAGTACCTATTTTAACAAGCAGTTGTCAAAAACGGGGAAGCCTGTGTTGATTTAACTTGTTTGTACTATGAGAAAGCCTTATCAGTAGCACCAGAAAAAAAGAACTTTAGTCGTCAACCCTAAGGCCATGCAACAGTGCTGCTGGATAAAAGAAAATACAGCACATCACATTCAGTGAGCGCAGATAGTACTGCCCACTAAAAGGCATTTTCCGTCAATGCAAGAGACCTTTTTTTGTTACTAAAGAGTGGCAAGAGAGGAATCAAATTCTACTCAACTGGACAGAAATGTAGCAGCAAAGACCTACGCAAAAGGTGAGCAACAGCCATTTGGTGAATTCCTCTCTTCTTAGCTATTCCTTTTGGGTCTAGCTCAGCAGCAATGCAAAAAATGTAAGTTATTCCATCAGAAGGAAAGTTAAGAGTTTATAGAAGGGTAGCTACTGTCTATAAACAGGTGCTCTGATTCTCAAATAACACTCCAAGAACAGGAAAAAAGCCTGCACAGGCATGCAGCCTGTCACCCTATACAAATTGTGCTTGACAAAGGTAGATTAAACAAATACCTTCCTTCAGAATTCAAACCGAGTTAAAATCTCCCTGTTCTCACTATGGTTCAAACAAAGACTCAATGAGCTAAAACAGCTGGTCAGAATATGATACCAGTTTTCACCATATTCTTAGACATGCTAACGTATTTTTTTTAAAATGCCATTTGAAGCACAACACAAAAGAAAAAAGTTTTCTTACCGTATGACATCAAAACTTTGAACTGAATCATTCCAGAAATACTTCACACTGTGATGTGTGAAATAACGAATCTGCAAGGGCAACACACATATATATTAAACTAGCACTGCTTAACATTTCTCTTCTGACAAAGTGAATTTAGAAAAACTTCACTGCAGAATGAATAGTTTTCTTTCAAAATAATCTTTCAAGCATTCCACAATTTCCAGTAACAGGCTATTGAGGCAAAGATTTGTGCTCCACCCAAAGAATGAGTTAAGTCTTCTAGACAAAAGGAGGAGCTCACATGTACGGTATTGTGTTTAGGTACTACTTGAGACACTTTGAAAATTAGCAAGTGTAGTATCGCAGGTTTACTTACAGGCAAATATTTTTTCAAATAATTTTTATTCTCTTCTGCAGCAGATTCACAGAAATGAACAGCATGGCCATTTGAAACCTTGTGTACTATAGGGTTAGGATTCTGTAAAGGATTGGCTCCCAAAGAAGGCATAATGCGAACCTTTGCACAAAACCATATCTTGAATTCATCCTTAAAAAGATGAAAAAAAATTAGTTGGATGAAACATCTTTTAAACTGTCTTTTACTGTAACAGCTGGAGCAAAATGTGTCAACAGGTGACAGATTCGCAGAGCACATACATAACTACAGAAGACATCCCCAAGTTAACACCAACTACCTTTAGAACACATTTTCTTTCCACAATTCTAAAAGCACGTTTTTTGCACTGAAAGATTTATTTTTTTTAAGCAATGAGTCTTGGTCCTTGAATTTTGACATCTCTAGCCCTTCTCAACTTAAGATAGCTGTTCTGCAGTAGGACAAACTATGGGATTCCTATGCATTCAGCCTGCAACTTCAAATAACTGAGGGCTTAACACAAGATCAGAACCAGGGACTACACACAGCAGTTGTGGAGGAAGAAAATCACTTGAAATCAAACCACAATTGGGTCCATAGTTACACCTTCATTCAACAAATGCATCTTTCCTGAACAAAGGAGATAAAACCTGAAAACCACATTATCAGGTTATTTGAACAAGGTATCTGTTCTGTAACTTTTGATGACAACAGCATATACATATTTAATTAATATCCAAAAGCAAAACTTTCTTTCTGCAAACAGCTGTTAGTCTTCCCATATGGGCAGCAAAGCTATGTACAGTACCAAGGAGCACAGTTCTGCAGTGCTGTAAAACAAAACCACATCTACATTGCAGGTAAGTATTTGTGTATTTTAGCAAGCAGCAAGAGGGATGTGAAACAACTGCAAACTTGTTTCCTATAGACTTACAGTTGTTCTCAGCAGAACCACTTCACAGTCTTTAAGCGTAGTCCTTTTGCATGTTGCTTTTACACGCCACTGAGGCATCCAGTAGAGGAGGAGGAGAAAAAAGCCACCGGAACAGATCACTCCTACAGTAACTAGCACCAACTTCCAACGACACAGCTCATAACCATAGATCTCCTGCACAGAAACAGAGAAACAAATAACAAACAGTGAACCTCTTTAACTGCTCTGTCTTGGGAAGCCAAAATTAATTTTTTATAAAGTGAGTTATTTAAAGCAAATCAAATTTCAAAGTCATCTTCTCCTCCTTTCCTGAGGGAAGGGAAGATTTAAAAAACTTAATACATGACAGGGAGGCAACAAAAGGAAGGACTGTTTTGCTCAGTCAGAAATCAGTAAAAGCCTCAGAAAGGCAGAGCACGCGCACTGTTCACAACATTTCATTACAGGACCTGTCTCCTCTCTGCACTGCTCTCAAAGAGCTGAGGTTGCAACACAACCTGCCTTAACTCTCAGTGAACGGCCACATTTTTGACCACAACCATGACCAAGCACAAGCCAACCAAGCAATTAAGAGAAAAAGCACTTGTTTTTGTCACATGCTGATTTTAACACATTAGCATTTGATTAGCTAGCGTGCTGAGTTTTGAATGCTAGCATAGCACTAGTTTCTGTTGCTAGCATATGTGGTTTTTGTTGCTAGCAGAATTTCACACTTTCTAAACAAGCATGTAAAAACTTGTCAAACACTACTTTTTAGTAGAGAAACTGGCTTATTTTGCCTGACATTTAGCAAGAAATGCTACTGTGAAACATTAGAAACTGCAAGCCGCACTGTCAAAGGTTCTGTAACCTGCACCAGCTGAAAAAATCCATTTCTCCCATTAAAAAACCCACCAAGTATTAAGTGTGCCCTGGTCAAAGGCAAGTACCAACTTAACCTGATGACAGTCAGGAACAGAAAATAATTCAGGGACTTAGTAGATGCTGTGTAACATTCCTGAGTTTCACATTACATCATTAGATTATATTTCCTGCTACAAAAGGGCAATGAAGTTTCCCATCGTGTCCCACCCATATTGTTCGTATTGACACCAACTTTCTGCAAATTTTTTTGTACTTTTCATTACAAGGTATTAGAAACTGTTTACACTGCTTTCCTAAGAAAAGGCTTTTCAACAAGTTTGTTTTTCAGCCTTCTCAGCTGACAAAAAGCAGAGATAAAACCCATTCTCCATTACCCCCAAAACACTGGAGCCAGTATTCACTCCTTACCAATAAAAACAGGTGGGTTAAAGACAGCGGGAGAAGTTAATGCTTCTTTTGGGGCAAAACAAAATTATTTCCTCTGAAAACTATTTATTTCTGTTATCAGACCATAAGCATCTCAGTTTCAGTTTTTGTTATAATGTGTATTTGCCTACTCTCTGGTCTAGTGAACAGCCATTTTTCACAGTAGCATGCACAAAGAAGGAACAAGGACTTCAGTTCACAGGAATCTACCATTTTTAAAACAAAAATCCCTTTATACCCCAAATATTTTCTGCTGTCTCTAGAATGGACTAGAAATTTCAAGATCAGCTGCCACTATTTTCTTGTCAAAGACAACTGCCAACAAGAGATACCATTGCTCTAGCAGGAAGCAAAGATTATGTGCTACCAAATACCCAAACTGCTCACCATGCTTTAGGGAACGGGTCTTATCTGCATAAATATCAATATGCAAGAGTATGCAGAGTACAGTCAGATTATGGAGCATTAACCTGTTTTAAATGACAAGAAAAAAGTTCCAGAATTTGAAGAAAAAAAAAAACAAACAAACAAAAAAACCAACCCACTTTGCTTCCATTTTCCTTTAAAAAAAAAAAGTAGATAAGTACCAAAATCTTATATCTATTGGACTGCTGACCTCAATGTAGCCAACTCAGAACCTTTGCAAAGGCTTTCAGCAAAAACATTCCCCATCCCAAGATTAGATTTCTTAATACCAAAAAAAATTATCAATGATAACTTTACAAAATTGTAAACTAAGACAGTCCTCTTCCTAATGTAATTGCCCCATTTAGAGAGAAAACCATGAAAATGTGTTTCACTGTATAAAAACAGACAAACAGAACTAATTACCATCTCATCTTCCTCTGCTTTATTGACAAATTTCTTTTCTTCTTTCTCCATGTTTAGTATGATATGGAACTTCTCAACTTGAGATATGGAAGACCTTTAACAACAGAAGAATTAAAAATTCAAGCAACATTACTTATTTTATTATTAGGTTGTTTTGAGGTTTTTTCTGTTAGCACACACACTGACAACATATTAATACAGATCTTAAATTTGCACTGTTAACTAGTTTCCAGTAGTAACAACCCAAGGAGCTCTAGTAAAGCTTTAAGACTGAACGCTAGATGAATACAAGTGAAATACTGCAGAAACAGCAGGCTTTGAAGGACAGAAAAAGAGCGTGTACTCATTTAACTTGGTTACATTCTACATGCAGCAAGCAGTTTTGGGTACATTCAACAAACTTAACAACGGAAATGTAAATTAAACCTGTAAAAAAAAAACCTGAAAAGTATGTCAAGATCACACATTTATATCACTCTACACTGTAATAGCTCCAAATCAGATGTTTTCAGAAGCCAGGCCATCCTCCACAAGGAATGTCATTGTACCCCTGAGATGTGCATTTCTCATCTGAGAAGAAAAGTAAGTATGTGCTAAAAAAAGTTTAGTCCCCAGTTTAATATTTCTAAATTAAGACACGTCTGATGGTCAGCTAGTCTTTTCCCTTTTTTCCAATTCTTCTACTAGTCAGTTTGTATCAATGGGTTCATTTCTTATTGCTAATCTCTTACAGTTGCAAATCTGAAGGGGTGCTTTGAGAACAGACTATGATAACAAGCTTCATGAAAAGGAAAAGGCATTAAAAAATATGAGGCTGTCTATGAGATTAACATATTGTACACAGATCCCTATTCCAATAGGGAAGAACTACAAACAAAAGGCTACAGCATACTGTGAGGCTCATCAGAAGTTTCAACATCACATGAACAAAGAAAATCAGAGGTACCAAGTCAAAAAGCTTATTTTTTTAAATTAAAACTGCACCTAACATTCACTCGGACACCCCTGTACATGTTAATTGTACACAATTTATAATTCATGCACCCACATCACGTTAAAAACACTGAACAGCCAGTGCTCACCTCCCAAGGCGTAACTATCATTCTCTGCACTGCCACTGTACACGTACAGCCTTTGTTTTTATTTACTGCATTTATTTATGTCTCCCAAGACAGACAGCACTTACTACCACTGCACATAAGCAGTTCTCAAGTATGAAGGATTTGCTGTCATGGCACAAGTAGTTACTGCAATTGTCCTTTTTCAGACAGAAGGCTGCTACAAAAAAAAATAAAGGTGAAAGCCATCCACTTAATCTCAGCTGTCCACTGAAGACTAGGATGCCACTACTCAAAATACTTATTATTAGGTAGCATTATGATACAAGCACACCCATTACCAAGTTCTTTGCTGTCATTAACTCCTCAATGTTTTCAGAAATCAAATCACCAGACTTCAGCTCAGATCCTCTCAAAGCCAGCCCCTGGATCCATGCACTTACACTCAGCAGCAATGCCAACTTCAAAAGGTTCTATCTCCCAACCCCTGTAGTTTATCAACATCATCATATGCTCATGCGGTTTCTGCAAGCTACCACCTCCTTTCCAATTAAGCAAATGAAACAGGAACCCAACAAAAAAGGTTTCTTTAGCTGCCCAAATCCGGGTCTCCCCAGAAACCTACTCCCAACTGCTGAACAAGGTCCTAGGGGAAGAAACACACACTCAAGCAAACAACTGCACCGTAACACGGGGCTCCTGCACAGGTGAAAAACCACTCAGCACTTCATAAATCCAGCGCCTGACACAGTTTGTGTTTTGTTCTGTATGGAAGGAAGCTAATTTGATAACAACTCTCTCCTTTGACAGAAACACCAGCTCACATGCTCCTTGCATTGTTAAGCTGAAGATTTTCTATTACTATCCAGCACTGAACTATGAATACTTCTCTTATTGCAGATTAATTTGGAAATTAAGCCAAAAGATGTGCACCACTGATATTTCCTTATCTGTCACACAAGTCATGCAAGTTCTAAAAGACATTTTTGTTTAAATTGCCACTTTTCTTCATTAAACAGTTTTTTATCCTGGGAAAGAAATACAGATAGATATGAAAGCAGTTAGAATCTGTCCTTAGCAGGATTGCTAAGAAAGCTCCTAAGAACAATCTTTGAATTGATAACATCAAACAACTTTATGTACACCATACAAATCACATTTTCAACCAAGAAATCATGCTGCCAGGAAAAGTTTTGTGTATTTACAGAGTTATACTTCTAATAGAGTTCACAGCATGAGAGAATTACAGATTTTTCATACTTGAACTAGTCCACTCAACCAAACATGCATTTCCCTGCTATAGCATACTGCAACATCCGAAACAGTGCCTGCAGGCAAAACCCCAACCTTCAACCTATCTAGTAACAACCATACTTGATACAGGAAAGCACTAGGCAGCAAAATATATGCAAACAGCTTCAAGATCAACACATCTCAACTGAGATTTCCATATGGCAAACATGTCCGAACAGGCTCCTTATGGGGCACTGCAGCAGCATGGGAGAGAAGTGCAATTGCTTTAATTTAGGGCTGTTTCACAGCTACAAAGGAGCATCAAGTCATCAGTCTGAAGAAGCATGAAGGGAAATCTCAGCACTGCAAGCACCAGCAGTAATTCTTGCAATTCAATGAGTTCTTTGAACAGCTGGGCAGAATCACACAGGGAACACACGAGGAGCATTAAGAAGCTATTTTTGACTCACATCGTTAGCTCTATCTGCATTATTTTATACATACTCATTTACTCAGCAACCTTCAACTAACACACAAATTCTCAATATTTCACATACTGCCTGTAATTTTCCATATTAAACCCAAATTCAAATCTCTAAACTTAGAAAACATTAGAGATCTTTTCTTAGTCAATGGGTCATGAAAATCATTACTATTCAGCAACAAAGAACAGCACCCTTTCTCCAATCTTATCCCTGTTGGCACATCATCAGCCCCAGCTCATCATCAACAGTTCAAACACACTACTGCTTCAGGTTTGTTTCTCACTGCCCTGCTGAAAGTTAGGGTTGAACATCACCACCATCGACTCCACAGGGTTGCCCTCTTTGGAGGTGACTTCAGGTTGCTGGGTCAAACTGAAGAAAGTAGCAGCATCTCACCAATTCAGAAGAGACTTTAGTAATCTCCATTTGATCTTTACTCCTATACTATGATGGGAAATTAAACATTTCAGTACTTTAAATGTTTAATTACATATTTAAAAATAAGCCTTGGACTTCTCAGACTACAAGGGAGTATGACACTCTAGAAGTACTCAGCATGAAGTGAGGCTGAAATCCACTCACAAGAAGCAACACGGACTTCAGGAATATCCAAATATAAAATATGTCTGACGCAAGGGCTGCCACTCAGCCTCTCTCCGGCACAAGTTCCCTGGAGCGAACAGCCAGAGAAATCCTCTCCCCCTTTAGCAAACTGAAAATAGCAACCAAAAAGGACTATTTATTCCTTTTAAAGAAAGGGACCAAAAACAATGGAAAGGTGAAAGTCACTGTCGCTCCACTTACATAATTTTTACTCATTGAGCTACTACTGTATAGCTAAGCATATTCCAGAGCCAGAACAGCAGGAAATATCAAAAAGGTCTGTAAAAGAAATGCTGTTTTCCACTGAGACTAAGAAAATTAAGTAACTTGGAACATTTTACAACAATGCAGGTATAAATTTAACAAATGGTAGCATTCAGCTGAACAGTGTCTGAAGTGTAAGTGCTTCTAAGAGCATACATTTGGCTCACAAGCTTAAACAGCAAAGCTACAACTTTTAAAAAATAAGTATATCAAAATTAATTTAAACTGCATTTGTTATTTGCCTCTGTCCTAATGGGTATGCAGCTGTGGCTACGAGCAGGACAGTATCTGCTGTTCCAGATTTAAGTCAATATTTTGGAGCTAAAGCAGATGACAAATTGGATTACTGGAGAAATTACAGCAGTGTACAGAACCAAAAAACTACATGCATCCCCCACAGTGAAGACAAAGTTGCACCTTTTCTGAATTACTGCATCAATATCTATTTGTTGATCTATCCGGACTACACAACCAGGATACCAAGCAGTTCTACCAAAATATTTATAGGCAATAAACATATGTAGCAACAGTATAAAAGGTACATGGCACATTTTTTAAGGAAAATGTTGTAAAAGAACTAAGTCTCAATCAGTATGCCTGAACAGTTCGGAGAGCTAAGGACCACTAGTTTATCTGAAGCCAGTTTTCTAATAGTTGGCATAATTAACAAAACTACTTCAGTGCAAATTTTACCCTTCAAGTTTGATGTGGGGTGTGGGAAGCAAAGAGATCTTCCCTTTCTTCTTCTCAATAGTTGTCCCAAGTGATAATCCTTAAAAACTAATTTTGCTTCAGCATACACACATTGTTGCCACCAGTTTATTCTTCTAGTTTTACAGTTTAACTGAAAGTTTCATAATTTCAAGAGAAAAATTCCAAGGTCTGCGAAGACTATAACTACAAAAGAAGAAACTTTTGAGACCTCCTTCAGTCACTGGGTAATTTAAATACCAAGTATCTCAGATGAAAATACAATTTTGACAGCTCAAGTCCTCAGTAAAATCCATGTATGAGTATGCATTAAAAAATTATCAAGTTCTTACATTTATGCTCTGTCATCATTCGTCTGCTTAAAATACACATGTAAATAAACCTACAAACTTGTATCTTAAACATTCCCTAGTTTATTCCTTTCAGATATTTGTAAAAATCCTGAGATAACCAAAAGAGTTTCTCTTACCAACAAGCAGTCCAGCAGCTGTCCTCTGCACTTGCTTTTGTTATCATGAGTTAGTGAGGCAGTTCTTAATAACCGAGACCCTATCTACAAGGGAAGTCCTGACAAATGAACTATTTTGTCTAAAATCTAAAAAAAGTCTCCAAGGGCTTTTCAAACTGTTATCAAAAGATTAACATATCAAAGAAAATTTGGCACTGCTTGGAATGCCTTTTTTTTTTTTTTTTTTCTTCCTCTTCCCTCCAGTGTGGCTGAACAATCGCAAGCCAGTGGCCGGGCTGGCGCGGAGGCTGTGCTTCCAGGCATCAGCCGCCAGGTCCAGCTCCTTCTATTCAAACCACAAATGCCTCACCAGGAGTCTGCAGGCAGCTTCAGGTCTACGCACCAGTCCTGATATTATCTGCCCAGCTAAAAGCATATATGCTTCTGACCAAACCCTTCCTTGTATTTACAGCTGTTGTGAGGGAAGACAACAACATCCATTCTGAGGAGCTAATCAATGATAAAGGCAGCAGTTAAGCAATATACACATTGCTCACTCTCAGCATTTCACAGTTTATCACAGAGCATAGCGAAGCAATCACATACACCAAATTAGATGACCTTTAGTGATCAAGAGCTACAAAGGTACAAAAGGGAACCTCGTCACTATCCGAGCATTGCAGAAACAAGTTACTTTTCCATACAAAATAAGGATCAACCAGCACTGCTTTGGTAAGAATGCAAACAGCAAATGACACGATTGAGCAAGGCAGGCAGGAAAAGCAAGAGACATGAATGAGAGAGGGCAAATTTTAAAACCACCTATGTGCAAAGATAATACGAGTCAATCTTCCTCAGCTCCATACACAATCACTGCCATTAAGTAAACCAAGCACCACAAACTTCTACAGGAAGAGAATTAAGACTAAAAAACTGACTGAGCCATCTAGAAAAAGATCATGGTATACATCAAACATGAATCACATTCCTGAAATCTGATCTAGTGTCTTACCAAGTGACCTGTCTGGTTCTCCTGGGTCCAAGGGGATCCATTAAGGTACCCTTTAAAGGCTCCTGAAAGACTGAGCGTCCCTTTCCAGAACTTATTTACAACAAATATATCCTCCATTAAGAGACACTTTACACCTCTGGAGTTGAAAATTAAGTTTCTAAATAGTTTAGTGTCATTACAAGTCTTTCAAATTTCTGAATTGAAAAATATCTTGAACAGTCATCCTTAACTGCAGGTAGTGCCTGCTGCACAGCGGACAGACATTGTCTTCAACTGTACGCTGACTAGCTGTCAAAACACAGAAAAACTGTTTTGACACTAGAAAGCCAAACATTATTTCAGTCACTCCAAAATTAAACATTTCTGCACTTCAGAGCCACACTTTCAACCCTCTACCACAAGTACAAATCAGTCTCGCAAGGTAACAGACCTTACAAAGGCAACGTTTACCACCAGGGTTTATTCTTGTTCCGTATCACACAATTCCCACACACAGAGAACAGGTACCAAACAGTCCATTTTTTCCACACATTATGGTAAAAGTTTCTGGCATTCATGCAGCAGACCTATAGGAGGCAAGCAATTGCTTTACACACGCAAAACACCAACTAATGCTCAATCTCTGCCATACTGGCAGTTACAAAATCAAAAATTGAAGTAGTACTCAAACTAGAAGAACACTAACAGGCCAGGAGGAGTTATTAACCTGTCTTCTAAGAACACATTCAGTTTCAAAATACATCCAATTTGTTAGGAAACATGAAAACACAGCCTGGGCTACCATTGACCATTAGCAGAAGAGGATGGCAGTTAATTTTACAAAGCGACTGACAGAGGAAAAAATGTATTCTTGTGCCTTGCCATAGAAGCCAGCTTTCCACATCACCCTGCAAGGGCTGGGTACCAGGTGCTGCATGGGAACACTTGGCACGTCCAAGGAGATGGTGTTTTAGAAAACAGTTCTCCACTTGTACCTCAGGCCAAATGCCAAAAGTTGCTCAGAATATTAAGCATATTTCAGAATGTAAATGTTATAATATGTCCATATGCATATAAAACAAAGTATCTCTTAACTACTAGCAGTAAAAAAACAATTAAAATCCTTCTCCAAAATTATTCCAGAAAGATTAAGAACTTTTTCTCCCCCAGACCATGAACACATTTCTCATCAGGAGAAAAAAAAAAAAAAAAAAAAAAACAAAACCTGTTCTTGATCCAAGATGTCCTTTGCCATCCTGCTAATGAGACCTCCTGGTCTACACAACACTTGGCAGCACCGACCATGCAAAGTTGCATTCAATACATCACTTCCAGTGTGCATAATATTTAACCTGATGTCAGAATTGCCAGCAGATAAAGAAAGAAGTTCTACGTAGAGCTTAAGAGACCATGCTCGAGAAAAAGCACACTTGTAAATGGAGCTACAAAAATAGAAGGAAAAGTCTTATCAGCTATTACTACTTGTGCATGCAGCTCCTGCCCATGCCAACTGCCAATGAGTTCCACATACAATACCTGAAAAGCTGAATCTGTAACACTGACTTCATTTAAAATGTGCTGTACCAACAAATAAATGACAAGGACACAGGGCTAAGAAGATGTAAGGATCAGAAAAAAATAAAGATAAAACATATTGAGGAGCACATTCTTCTCAAACCATATCACATAATATGCTGCACATGTTAAAAATCCATCAAAAAAAAAAGCAAATTCGAAAGAACATTTCAAGCCTTCAAGAGCTGAAACCAAAGCTTCTGCCCACCGTGTCTTGGACGTAAGTTCCATATTTACTTTCCAGTCCTTCTCCTTTACATAAGAGAATTTATAAAAATAACGTACTATTTCGTAAAATTTCTCAACCAGCTGCTTTCGAAACAGATTGGCAGAACGTGCAGTCACTCAAAATGAAAAAAAAGACCATTTTTAAACAGGCTTGCAACTAAAAAAAGCTAGGAGTCTATTTTAAAGGTTATAAGAACGCCCTGCTAAAATCCACACTATGACATCTTGTCTCCAAACAGTCTGTTATCAGTATTCATTATCCCTTACTCGTGAGTCTCAGTACCTCCTCAAAGGAAACGCTTTCCAAAGTTCCTTTCTATGGATTCTCACAGCCTTCAAGGAGCTTCTGACCACAGGTGTGCCTGCACTCTGTATTTGTGCATCTATGATGTGCACCACTGCTGCAGCAACAACTTCCACTTAACATCTAGGACCACAGCCACGATTTGTGGCAGATGGGATTACATTACCCCCTGGACTCGGAGGGATCCACACATCTG